ACAGATCCTCCTGTGTCCTTCACATTTCCCAAGATTCTCTTGGGTGATGAGGTCATCAATGGGTTTGGGGCAGAAACTTCTGTTCTTTGATGTTGAACAAATAAGCATCAGAACATGAGGAATATAGGAGAGGCAAACAGGCTAGGAAACAGAATGAGTGCAAATGTTGCATCAATTGAGTTCATTACCTATGACTCTTTTTAAAAGCAAAATTAAAATCATGCCAAGGAATCCTGGGGTATCCCTTGGGTTTGCTCCGCCTCCAGCCCAGAAGCCCAGCTTCTGAGCTCCACACTGGCCAAACATTCTCAAACAGAAGGGTCTTCCCGTTGGCATCTCATCTCTTCTACATAAGCGTAAAGAAGAGTGTGCCCTTTTTAGACCTTGGGACTACAGCCCTGCCATACCATCCTGGGCTGCATTCTGGTCTGCCTCTTCTGTCACATTCATATCCTTGCCCATTGAGATGACAAAGGCTACTTTACAATAGTTCAACTAAACAAACCCTGTACATAACATTCAGGACACTGAGTTGGGCACTGAGAATACAAAGATAAGATAAAGATAATGCAAAACAATCCTGCATACATTCAAATCAGAGTAATGGGACATATACTCAAATAGAAATGCAAGGTAGGATGGGATGGAGGATCCTGAGAGAGCCAATGTTATCTAACTAAGTTTGAGGGGGGGAGATCACTTTCTGCCTGGGAGATGGAGAAGAGGGAGCAGTCTCATACAAAAGGGAGCTAGTGAACGTTTCTGAGCTGGACAGTGAGTGAAATGACCAGACCTGTGCATTAGGCAGCTGTATGAAGAATGGAATGGAGAGGAGGGAGTTTAGAAGGGGGAGATCAGTTAGGAGGTAATGAGAATAGTGTAAGGGAGAGATGAAAAACCTTGGAGAATAAACTGTAGTGTGACTGTGGGCACACCTCATCTCTTTAAGACTCAATTTCCCATGCTGAAGAGAGAATCTCTAGGATCACATCCAGCTCTCAGACCCTATGTCTCCGTGTAAAGGCAGGAAATTACAGGCATCCATATTCAACTCAAATATAGCAAAAGATGGTTTAATGCTTCAGTCTAACTTTCCAATTTCGAAACTGTTTCATACGCACCTCAACCTCTAGTCCTTGGGGATCCTATGGCTTTCCTTTGTGGCTCTCAATGAGCACCCAGGCTTCAAGTTAAAACTGCTTTTTGAAAGGCTACAAGAATGTTAGAGCTAAAGAGGACCTTAGAGGTTATCCAACTTCCTCATTTTACATGTAAGTAACCTAAGGCCCACAAAGGGTAAGTAATTTGCTCAAGGTTACATCAAACTTGGGATTCTTTTTTTTATTAATTTATTTTGATTTATCAACAATCACTTCCATAAGCTTTTGAGTGATAACTTTTTCTCCCTCCCTTCCCCACTCCCTCCTCAAGACGGCGCACAATCTAATATAGGCTATACATTTACATTCCTATTAAATATATTTTCACATTAGTGATGTTGTAAGGAAGAATTAGAACCAATAGGAGGAACCACAAGAAAGAGGAAACAAAACAAAAGAAAAAAATAGCAAATAGTATGCTTCGATCTGCACTCAAACTCCATACTTCTTTCTTTGGATGTGGACAGCATTTTCCATCATGAGATCTTTGGAGACGTCTTAGATCTTTGCATTGCTGAGATGGGCTAAGTCTATCCATGTTAGTCATCGCACAATGTGGCTGTTACTGTGTACAACATTCTCCTGGTTCTGCTCACTTCACTCAGCATCAGTCCATACAAGTCTCCAGGTTTTTATGAAGTCCACTTGCTTATCATTTCTTATAGTACAACAGTAGTCCATTACATTCATATACCACAACTTGCTCAGCCATTCCCCAATTGATGAGCATCCCCTCAATGTCCAATTCTTTGCCACCAAAAAAAAAGAACTGCTATAAATATTTTTGTACATGTGGGTCCTTTTCCCATTTTTATGATCTCTTTGGGATAGAGCCCTAGAAGTGCTATTGCTGGATCAAAGGGTATGCACATTTTTATAGCCCTTTGGGCATAGTTCCAAATTGCTCTCCAGAACAGTTGGATCATTTCACAACTCCACCAACAATGCATTAGTATTCCAATTTTCTCACATCTTCTCCCACATTTATCACTTTCCTGTTTTGTTATGCTGGCCAATCTGATAGGTGTGATATGGTACCTCACAGTTGTTTTGATTTACATTTCTCTAACCAATAATGATTTAGAGCATTTTTTCACATGACTATAGATGGCTTTAACTTCTTCATCTCAGAACTGTCTGTTTGTATCCTTTGACCATTTATCAATTGGGGAACAAACTCGAGACTCTTAACTCCCAATGTAATAAGTAGTTCTTTCCATTATAGCATACTGATTCCCTCTGTCCTAGGTTCTGTTGCTCCATTGGCGTTAATGAAATAGGCTTATCCAAAACTCTCAATTTCATGACCCATTTATAAATATGAGGCATTTGGCTCCTCTTTTGGCCAGAAGACCAGCTTTGGAGTAAGGAAGTCCTGGGTTCAAGTCCTTTCTCTGTGACCTTAGGCAAGTCATTTAATCTCTTTACATCTTATCTTCTCAAACTCTTGGCAACATTTGATGCCATTATCTTCTCCTTTATACTTTCTCTCCTCTTGGCTGCTGTCATAGTATAGTCTTCTGTTCTCCTCCTATTTCTTTAGCCACTCTGTCTCTGTCACCTTTACTGATCCCTTGTCCTCTTCTTGACTCCTTAAGACGGATGCTCCCGAAGGTTCTGTATGTGGCCTGCTGCTTTTCTATACCTCACTTCTTTGCAGTAATGGTCAGCCATTTTTACAGATTCAGCTATCACTTCTACAAAGGTGAATCTCCATCCCTGGCCCCTCTCCCAAGAGCCAGACCATTTCCAACTACCTACTGTAAATCTTTACATAGATGTCCCAATGGCACTTCATACTCAACATGTCTACAAGACAAGTTATTATTCTACATAGAGGGGCTTAGATAGAAAATGAGGATATTCAAAGTGAAAACAGAAGAGAGGAAATAACTCATATATATCACTAAGGAAGATACCATAGAGAAAAGCAGGTATCACATAAAAAGATAAAATCTGTAAAAGGATACAATAATTCACAGGAGACATACCTAAGATGAGGAGCAAGAATAATACTCATAGCTACAGCTGATTCTACAAACTGTGTAGAATAAGGATTAAAAGCCAAATGAGGGGGCAGCTAGGTGGTGTGATGGATAGAGCTCCAGCCTTGGAGTCAGGAGGACCTGAGTTTAAATCTAGGCCTCAGACACTTGACACTTACTAGCTGTGTGACCCTGGACAAGTCACTTAACTCTGATTGCCTCACCAAAAAGCCAAAAAAAAAAAAAAGAAAAAAGCCAAATGAGCTAGAGATCTTAATGCAAGGAGGTGAATTTGAGTCATAGAGATTACTAGGACATGGTGAGATGGGATTCATGATTGGAATGAAGCCATGGAAAAAGATGCTTATTGAAAAGGAATAAATTAAACAAAAGGAATGTTAGAGTACCATTGTATATCATGTAGTTGAACTCTGGCGTGGAATTCCACAAACCAAAGGGTGGGGAGCATTTGAATGAACAACAGTGAAGGGAAACACAAAATCATTATCATTTCTAAAAACCACCCAACCAGTACTACATGGAAGGTCAGAAAATTCTTAACTTTCCTTCATTCTTCAAAAGATGGAAGAAGCCTCAAGAGGAAATGCCATTCTGAACCTGATTCTGGTTGCCCAAGTAGAAATGATGTGAGAGCCTTGGGAGGAAGTAATCAAGCCATCTTAGACTTAGTTATAGATAAGGCAAAGAAAGGTGCCCATGGTCTGAGTCTCACCCTAGTTTAAGAAAGATCAGCTATCAGAGGATTCAGAAAAAAGACAGGCAAGATCCTATGGTGTCCAGAAAGAGGCTGCCCACAAGGACACAATTCTAATAAGTAGAAAAAAATTGGGAGGGAGAGGAGATGTTTAAAGACAGCAGTGTGAACACATAGGGAACTCATTTGTAACATATGGGTGCATGGAATGCCTCTGGTATGGACCCGCACACTATAATATCTCACACAGAGACTGGACTATCTTCTCATTCTCTGGGCTAGGTCAGTTACTGGAACCTGCCCTCATACTAGCAAGTCTGGGTTCCTAGAGCAGAAACACCAGTACATAACTATACTCAAGTTCTCTTATGGTGTTGGGGTAAGCAACCCTGCTGTGGAGGAATACACTCCCTCTAATCACCACTATAGCTGTCAAGCCCACACCAGTGCACTTCCATTTACACAAAACAAGCCAAGAAAAGGCTAGTTCTTTCCCCAACTTCTACAGATTTTTATCCACAGATGCTATAATATAATCTCCTGTTTTGGTAGCGACGTGTTGTTGTGAAGAATCGAGTCAGGAAGACTCCAGGTGAAGTCATTCAACCTCTGTTTGCCCCTGTAAAATGAGGGTACTAATAGCACTTACCTCCCAGGGTGGTTGTGAGGCTCAAATAAGATAATATTATAAAGAGCTTAGCACAGTGTCTGGTACATACTAGGCACTATATAAATGCTATCATGATTATTATTCTCATTATCATCATTGTTATTGTTATTCCTCAGTGCCTAGCATGGTGTTTTGCACACAGTAAGTACTTAATGGTTGCTAAATGAATGAAGCTCAGTACCCTCCCAGAGCCCACCTTCCTATCCCCTCCTCAGCGCTTTCTGAACATCCCACTGGCCCCTAGATTCTTCCTCACTCTGCCCATTCCTTTGCCTCTGGAAGACCCAGCGGCTTCTTCTGGGAACTAGGCTACCCTAGAGCCCCCAAGAAAGGAGCCACCCCAATGCTAAGGGAGCAGGTAAGAGACAGGAGTTGGCTTTCAGTGCTTTTCATCATAAAACTTTAAAATGCTTTCAGCTAAGGACTGAGAAGAAACCTTTGCACGGATTATAAAAGTTTCTTGCTTCCAGGCTTACCATTTGTTTCTACATGGAGCCTTTGGGACTAGCCACAGCTACTGAATCCTCAGCAAGCCAATCCTGAGCCCACAAGATGGGGAGAGACATCTTGAACTAGAGACGCTGCTGAGGGAAAGACCACCCACCTCCCCCTGCCTGCCACCAGCGAGGCCGGGTCACAAGTCACGCCCAGACCTCTCTCCCTTCCCATCTCTGCCTCCGTCCTCACTCCCCTGACTTCTTTCAAGTCCCAGCCAAAATCCCACCTTCGGTAAGACACCTTTCCCAGTCCTCCTTAGTGCCAGCGCCTTCTCTCTGTTGATTATCCTCAGTTTATCTCGTCTATCTCGTGTCTGTACACAGCGGTTCCCGTGTTGTGTCTCCCATTAGATTGTAAGCTCTTTGACGGCAGGGACTTTTTACCTTTCTTTGCACACCCAATGCTTAGTGAGTGCCTGGCTCGTTAATAAATGCTTGCTAACTGACTGACAAACCCAAGTCTTAGGACAGAGTGGGTCACACCATTCTTTACCTGAACCCCATGGCCCCTCGCCAGCTCCCAGTGCTGCAGACCGTGGGAGAAGGAACATCATGGGCTCTAGAGCAGCTAGCTAGCACATGAATAGAGCGCCTGGCCCAGAGTCAGGAAGCCGCATCTTCTCAAGTTCAGATCTGACCTCAGATGCTTATTTGCTGTGTGACCCTCAGTGAGTCACTTAACCTTATTTGCCTCAGTTTCCTCATCTATAAAATGAGCTGGAGAAGGAAATGGCAAACCACTCCTGTATCTTTGCCAGGAAAACCCCGTTTGAGGTCACAAAGAGTCAGACACAACTGAAACTGCTTAACAACAATAACATTAGGGGATCAGAAAGTGGTTTACCAGGGCCCTGCTCCTTGCTGGCCTTGGCTGCCTGACAGGCAAGGTAGCTCTTTTGCTCAGCTTAATAACAGCCTGGTAATTAGCTCCACAATTTTGCTCCTATACTTATAATAGCCTCCATTAAAGTTATGGGGTTTTCAAGCAGTAATGGCTTCCAAAGTAATTAATACACAACTGGGTTTATTGCTAAGTTTATTTTTAGAACTATTTTCTCTCTCCACTTCCTTTTGTAAGTTGCTTTGGCCAAAAAGAACAGATTGGATGTGAATCATCTCTCCATGACCTCCTCATACCCCCTGCTTCTCCTCACCCCCTCCCTGTGCCTGCTGGCCTTTTAACACTTACGTGTCCTCTCCTCTTCCTCCTGAGTCTAACATGGAAGCAATCAGGCCCTGGATTTGTTCTGGATTTTGAGGACCTATGGCAGGCTCTCAGCCCTAGAGCTAGATTTCAGAAGTTATCTGATCCCGCATTTCTCAGCTAAGGAAACTGAGACCCAGAAAAATGATGTGATTCATCTAAGGTCCCACAGGTGGTGAGTGGTAGAGACAAGATTTGGGCCAGCACACACACACACACACACACACACACACACACACACACCATTGATCTTTTAACCTCCAGGTACTAATGTAGCATCTAGAGGGTCTGCAAGATCAGGGTGTGGACATGACTGGGAGGCTGGTGTGGGCTTAGGACTGGACTGTGGAATTCTAAGGTCTCAGGCCAAAGGTGTTTCTTCCCTTAAAATTAATTAGATAAATAAATGAATAAAGAAATAAACTATGGATGGGGTGGGTTACTAGCGCCATTTTTAGGCATGCTTATTGTGGGCTATTGGTACTAGAAAAGACCCAGTGGTGGTCTCCGATGTGACGGTCATCTACTTGTCTCTGGCTTTTCTGCTGCCCGTCACTGACAAAACTTTGAGTACAGTCCAGAAGTCAATAGCCCTTTTGTCTACCTCTCCCCTTTTGTTCTGGTCTTTCTTCTTTTCCACCCTTCCTTCCTACGGCTGGTAGCAGTTACTAAGTTCACACAATCAATCAGCCAGGATTTATTAAGCACCTACTGTGTGCCAGGCACCCAAAATACAATTACAACCCCAGCTCACCAGAAGATTCCATTTTAATGAGATCCAATCCTCTCCTAGGTTAGGTTGGAGGCAGGGTGGAGGAAAATCAATGCAAAGCTTGGTTGGGGGTTGGCATTACTATTGCTTGGGATAGGAATGAATGGGAAGAACAAAGGGGTTGGAAGTACTGGGACAGGAATGATGAGACTTGAAATTAGGATCCAAAGCTGCTTTGAAATCAGACATGGAGAATTTCAAATGAAGCTCCTTACCAGCTCATGCCTCCAGGGGCCTAGACCAGAAGTTTAACCTGATTCCTCAGTCCCCCTCCATTGCTGTCATTGAGCCCTTTACTCAGAGGACCCTTATAGATCTGGGACTAGGCTGCTTTAAAATGCTCTAAGTGCAGCCTCAGGGAACGAAGGAAGGAAGGAAAGAAGGAAGGAAGGAAGGAAGAAGGGGAGGAAGGAAGGGAGGGAGGAAGGGAGGGAGGAAGGAAGGGAGGGAAGAAGGAAGGGAAATCCCTCTTCTGATGCAGATCAGTGACTTCCCAGCAGCTTTTTAGGTTTTTTGCTTAGGCAATCAGGGTTAAGTGACTTGCCCAGGGTCACACAGCTAATAAGTATCAAGTGTCTGAGACCGGATTTGAACTCAGGTCCTCCTAATTCCAGGGCCGGTGCTCTATCCATGGCACCACCTAGCTGCCCCTAGCTTTTTAGTTTCAAAGGGATGTTTGGGGCACTGAGCAGTTCAATGAGTAACTTCAGTCAATAAGTATTTATTAAGTCCCTAGTATGTGCCAGGCACTATGCTTAGTGCTAAGGATACAAAGAAAGGCAAAAGATAAATCCCTGCTCTCAAGGAGCTCACAGTATCCCCAGCTTCCTGATTTTCTGGCTAGTCTTCTGTTAACTCTAGCATGATGCCCTTTAGCACTTTGTATTTACTTATATGTTTTATGTTGTGGGTGAGGCAGCTAGGTGGCACAGTGAATAGAGCACTGGGCCTGGAGTCAGGGAGATTCATCTTCATGAGTTCAAATCTGGCCTCAGACACTAGCTGTGTGACCCTGGGCAAGTCACTTAACTCCGTTTGCTTCCGTTTTCTCACCTGCAACGTGAGCTGGTGAAGGAAATGGCAAACCATTCCATTATCTCTGCCAAGAGAACCCCAAATGTGGTCAAGAAGAGTCAGACACAACTGAAATAACTGAACAACAATTATAATGTTGCATCCCCAAGTAGAATGTAAGGTCCCTCAGGCCAGGAACTGTTCCTTCCTTGTCTCTGTAACCCCAGTGCCTAATACAGTGCCTTACACATTTGGGGGGGTTACCTGACCTGTGATTTCATTAGGGGTTAGGAACTGCCCATTGAGGAAACTCTCTCTAATAAGGAAGTTCAGCAGCTGTTCTGCAACTGGGCTTTGAGAGCTGTCTGAGGTTAAATGACTTGTCCAAGAGCCAGAAGGTGGCAGACTCAAACCCAGGTCTTCCTGACCCTGGGAGGTTTGGGAACACTCCTAACTTGCTGTTGCCCTGATCTCTATGAATCCTTTTCTGCTGCTTATGCTTAATAAATAAATATAATTACATAACCTACCAATTGTTCCAGACCACCTCTGCCTTATATATATACAGTAGGTACTTAATGCGTGCTTGATGAATTGAAATGAGGGTAGAGGTGGTGGACACCATAGTCATCTTCCAGAATGAGGACCGTTATGTGGGCCGGGGTTTGGATTTGTTATGCTGTTGTTTGACACTGTGTCAGCCTCAGAGGGCTGAACTAGGAACAGCACGGGAAGTTGCCACAGCCTAAAGGCTTAATCTAAGAAGAAGGAAAAAAACTCCTTATAATTAGAATTGCTCAAAGGTGGAGAACACCGTCTCAGGAGGGTTCCCTCTCACTGGAGGTCTTCCAGTAGAAACCAGAGAATCATGGCCAAGGATCCTGTAGGGGAAGCTTCTAATTCAGGTATGGGTTAGAGTACATGGCCTCTGAGGTCCTTCCTCAGGCCTGCGAGATGGCCTCTGTCCCTCTCCTTCTTGAAAGCTGGGGCATCTACCCTGCCCATCCAAGACAGGGTATAAGAAGGGGATTAAAAGGTAAGCTTCTTTGGCATTACAGACAACCTGATGAATACCTCTCAATAATTTGCACCTTCTCTATGTGTCCTGTCATCTAGATTGTAAGCCTCTCAAGATGAAGGATTGTAGTTTACACCTGCTTTTATTCCCAGCCCATCCCAGTGTCCTGGACCCCATAAGTTTCTAAAATATATTTGCTTTCCAGCTGCCACTTCCTCCATGAAGCTTTCCCTGATCCCACCCTGCCAGCAATCATCTCTCCTTCCTCAGCACACATCTGATGCACATATTTTCTAATTTGTATTACAATTATTTGTATATGTGTCTTCCTATTTGAATGTAAGCTCCCTGGGGGTAAGAACCAACATCCTTAAGCACTGTGGCCCATATACATATTTATAGCTTAACAAATGTTGAATTAAATGGAACTGATTGGTGATGATCACAAAGAGAAGTGTACTCCAGATGTTTCTTCACAGATTTGTCTGCACCGCTCCATCTCAACCAAAGCCCTGTTTTTAGGGCCTTCTGCCTCTTTTCTGGCAAGAACAGTCCTGGTGTTATGGTCTGGTGTAGGCTTTTGCTCAGGACCACAGCCTGTTAACTTCTTGCCTTGACTTAGAGGTTTGGACATTAATATTTCAATGTATTTGAAGACAGCAGATTGTCTGCCTTGACAATCTTTTGGAAGCCCGCGTCATTCTCCCACAAGAGCTCTTTCTGGAAATGAGGCTTATCTGACACTGCAACGTCTTACATCTACAATGGGAGACTTTGGTCTGACGTTAGCTTGCTGCGTATCCTAAGAAAGTCACTGCTCCTTTCCGAGCCTCTGCTTCTCAACAGCTCTCTGGCTATGGCCCTTTGCTTTGTATTTCAGGCCTCCATCCCCCTGGGGCCCTGAGCTCACCCCTGGACAGCTGCCCTCTCCCTGGACTCCGGCCTGACCAGACTTCCTAAACCTGCTTCTGCAATGGGTGGGTTGTAAGAGCTGGTAAGACCTTTAAACCGACAATTCCCCTTCTCTGTCTCTCTCTGTCCTGGGGCTCCTTGGCCCATTCATGTTCTCTTCTTCCCTCTCTGCTCTCTGCTACTACCACTTCCCCCTTCCTGGACTTGCCGCCATCCAGGTAATGAGGAGCTGTGGGTCCAGTCAGCCTTGGAGATGCCGAAGAGACGGGACATCCTGGCTATTGTTCTCATTGTGCTTCCCTGGACACTGCTCATCACCGTGTGGCATCAGAGCCCCATCGCCCCGTTGCTCACTGTGCACAAGGGTGAGTGAGGCTACACCATCCCTATACACACATACATATGCATACAAAGGTACACATACACTCACACAACCTTCCCCTCATCTCCAGCAACATACCCCTTCTCCTAGCCTTTGCTACCCTTCAGCTTCTCCCTGGCCTTCCTCTTCCAACTTCTACCCCTCGGACTCATTCCCAACTATACCCCTTCAATCTATCCCACTCCCATCTACCAACTCAGGCAGCCAAATGCCATATCCACCCCAGCCCCCCCAGCTCTCTCTGAAGGTTTAGAATAGGTCCATGACTACCCCTTGGAGGCCCTTAGCTTCACCAATTAATTTAATTAAAAAACACTTATTGAATGATTGGTCTGAGCCTAGCTGTGAAGGATCCATCCCTGCACCTCAGGCTTTGCTGACCTCTGTCAACATTAGCTGACATGAGGGCATCAGCTACTCCTTGGTATTCACCTAGGGTACTCATGCCTTGGTATTCACCTAGGATACCCATACCTTCAGCCCCAGGGGTTTTCTACCTCACTAGTTTCCAAACCTCAATAGTCTCTAACCTCTGACTCAAGACATCAAGCCCCGCAACCTTCCCCACTTCTGAGGATGTTTAATTCCTTAATTTCAGCCATACCCAACACCTAATCACCATGCCTGCCCTTCTTCCATTACTGCCACCATAACTGAATGTCCAATTCTAGCACCATTTCTTTCCTTCCCATACCACATCTTGCAGTTTACCAAGTGACTTGAAGCAACATGGTATAATAAAAAGAGTACTAGATTTGCAGTCAGACTGTATTTAAACTCCCAGCTCTGCTGCTGTCTGTGTGACTTTAGATAGGTCAGTTAACTTCTCTGGGCCTCAGCTTCCTAATCTGTGAAATGAGGGAGTTGGATTTTATGACCAATGATTTTGACAACGTAAGGAATTCCTAGTGTATGAATTCCCTCCACCAATGCTAACCACCACCCATCTATGACTTAGTAAAATCCTAGGGGGTTGTCTGAGATACACAGAAGTTAAGTGACATGCACAGTCATGCAACAAAGAAGCCTCAGAGGCAAAATCTGAACCCACATTTCTTGCCTTCAAGCCAGTACTCTACTCTCTGTGGCACACTGCCTCGACTATCTTGGTATCAAAGCAAAAATATTGATTTACAAAGGAAAAGAAAATACTAATTCAGAAATAATTCACCAGAGTAAGGTCATTAGAAATGCATGTTAATGATCCACAGCCCAGGTAGACATGGTAAAGAAAGGACTAACCCACTGTCCAGCCTCTATGATTGCTGTAGGCATAGAACCCACAACAAGAGTTCATCTTCCTTCTTACCCCAAAAGTGAATGGCAATTCATTTCCCAGGACAATCTTGTTGACAGAAGATTGATCCAGGCAGACGTTTTGAACTGCCTGGATTCATCAGTTTACAAGCCCAAATTCACTCTCAGCCAGTGAAGACTTCAGATTGTTGGCAGCTTTTGGTGATACACCCACAGCCACATAATCATTTTGCTAATTAGATATCTTTTTTACTTCCTCCAAGCAAAGGAGGGAGGAAATAATAATATTACAAACCACCTAAGTGTTTCACATTACCCTAAGAATAGAATGATTCCATCTGAGACCCCTTTCACCTTCAAAATTTACAAAGGACAATCACTTCATTACATTGGCACTATGATAAAAGTGAAGAAGACACAGTCTCTGCCCTGAAGGAACTCACAATTCTAATTGGGGATATAAGACGTGCACTAATAACAATTCTACAGTGTCAAATAGGGTTACATAGAGAAGCACAGAGCCATTAACTGAAATATGGGAGTCAGGTAAAGTGAGCTAGTTGTCTGGGGAAGATGATGAGTTCTGTTGATCCCCAAGCCTTGATGCTTACTTCATCACCCCCAGGAATGAGGGATATTTTGGAATGTTTTTTATTTTGTCCATTGGGCATTCCAAAGCAATCTTTCCACATGTGCTTATGGTGCCCTTTTCCCTCTTCCTTCCCATACATACGTACATAGAGACGTGGAGACTCAGAGACTGGAGAAGACCCTAGAGGTCATTCAGTCCAACCTATATTCAAATAATCATTCCTCACTATGACTCCTCTAACAATAAAGTCATCCAATCTCTGTTTGAATCCCTCCAGTGACGAGGAACTTACTGCTTTCCCTTACATTGCCCATTCCACTTCTCCATAGCTGTTAGGAAGTTTTCCTTATTTTGAGCTCAAATCCATTTTCCTGTAAAATGTGCCCATAGCTCCTAGTCCTGTCTTCTTGGAATTAGCAGAACAAGTGTAAACTTTCCATATGATTACCCTTCAAATATTTGAAGATGGCTCTCAGGTTTCCCCTTCAATCTTTTCTTTTCTAGGATAAACACACCCAAATCATTCACCCAATCCCTATGTGGAATAAGTATCTCACTCCCTCACAATGTGGCTACCCTTTTCATGCTCCAGTCAATCTAAAACATAGTGCCCCCAACTACACACACTATACTGCCAAGTGCAGTCTAACTACAGCAGAATATTATTGTCTCCTTTGTTCAGGACACCATACTTATGTTAATAAAGCACTTTAATATTGAATTAGCTTTTGGGCTGCCACATCAAACTGCTGACTCATACACAGCCAGCAATCCAATAAAAGCCCTGTACTTTTCACGTGAAATGCTTTCTAGTCTTGCCCTCCCCACCCTATCCTGTATTTATGAAGTAGATTTTTGAACCCAAATGAAACATATACTTCCACCTAAAACATTTGTCATTTTTAGCTTCTGCTCCCCATTTTAGCCTGTAGACATTCATTTGGATTCCAATTCTACTAGCCAATGTAACAGCTACGAGAGAAACTCTCACTCTTGAATTTGTGACCCCAGATTCTAACATGGCATCTGGTCCATAGTTTAATACATGCTTGTTGACGGATTCATTAATTGGTTATCCACACATCTAAGATGCCTTCTACCAATGCTTTCATCCGAGTCCTTGATAAAAATATTGAATACAACATAACTAAAGGCAGATGCTAGTGGCACTCCAATAAAGGCCTCGGGGGGTGGGGGTAGCAGGGGAGGAGAAGCATTTATCACCACTTTGAAGCCAGTCATTCAACCAGCTCTGGACTCCCTCTAATCGAACTAACTACCATCCACTCCACATCTCTCCTCCTTGCTCATGGGGATTTCCTGATTTTGTCAGAGGCCTACCTCAAAATCTGGTATACTATAGAAGGCATGGTATGGTGCAGGGCCGAAGGTTCCCCACCTCTGGTATAGTAGAAGGATGGATCTGAAGCCAGAGGATCTGTGTTGAAATCCTAGCCTTGCCATTTGCTGCCTGTGTGACTTTGAGCAAGTCTCTAAACCTCAACTTTCTCATTTGTAAGAATGAAGGTGTTGGACTAGAAGACCCTTCAGGGGTTCCAATTCTAAATCTATGATCTTATCTATGTCTATGGTATTCCCCTAGCTACCATTCTAGTAACCTTCTCAAGAAAGGCAATGGGGCAAGGGAGAGAAGGAAACAAACATCTACTAAGCACCCACTGCGTGCCAGGCACTGTGCATTATCTTCATTTGATCTTCACAACAACTCTGGGAGGTAGGAACTATTATGAATCTCACTTTTTGGAAACCGAGGTAGATGTTAAGTGACTTGCCCAGGGTCACATAGCTAGTAAGTGTCTGAGGTCATATTTGAACCCAAGTCTTCCTGACTTTAGGCTCCCCTGGGCTACCAAGCTGCCATATCAAACCAAACTAGTCTGGTGTGACTTGTTCTTAATAACCATGATGGTTAATAATAGTGACCACTTTGCTTTCTAAGTATCCCAAAGTACTCTCCTCCCTTCTCTCTGCCCCATTTCAGGGTAGTGAGGTGTAGTGGAAAGGGTATCGAGAGTCACAGAATCTGAATTCAAATATTGGCCCTGCCATTTATTACTTTAGTGACCTGGGGCACATCATTTAGCCTTTCTGGGCTAAATGGGTTCAATTCTGAACAAGTTATTTATCCTCGGATTAATTTCTGAGCATTTAAAAAAGAAAATGAATCTTTATCACATAAAACTCAGAATTGATTCACTAACAAGTTAAATAACTTTATTTCCTTTTTCAGTGGGGTTACTAGGAGAATGCAATAAACATAATGTATCTGGAATTTACAAGGCATTTGACAAATGCTTGTTATCTATCCTGATTTGGTCAAGATATAGATTGTACAATGGTATAACGAGCTGGTTTATTAATAGCCGATATGTCAAAGTTTACACCTTGCTTTACACATATATCATTTGTCATTGAGAATTTGGTGCAGTGGCTAGGGTGGATAGAGGGCAGGACCTGGAATCAGGAAGGACCAAGTTAAAAATCCAGCCTCAGACACTTATTGGCTGTGTGACCCTGGGCAAGTCACTTAACCTCTATCTGCCTCAGTTTCCTTATCTATAAAATAGGAATAATAATAGCACCTACCTCCCAGAATTGTTGTGAGGATAAAAGCAGATACTATTTGTAAAGTGCTTTGTAAATCTTAAAGCTTTATGTAAATGCCAGTTATCAGCTCATTGGGTCATGATCAGACTATGGTTATGTGAGAACTAGCTGAGGAAGAGCAGAAAAGACCACAGGGCTTCCAAGGGGGAGGAGTGAATGAACTTATTCTGTACTGTTCCAGGGAGTTCCAGGGGGCTGGACTGAGATCAATGGGAGGTAGAATTTAGCTCAGTATAAGGCACAACTGGTTTATAAGCAGAGCTGCCCAATAAGCCAACGAGCTCACCCACCATCACTAGAAATAAACAGATTGGCGTTTCATCTCTCAGGGATTTTTGCAATAGGTGGGAAGTTTGCATTAACCTGCTGCACATGGAGTCAAGAATTCTCAGGTTCAAATACTGCCGCTGACATTTACCAGCTTTTAATCTCTTTGAAGCTCAGTTTCTTCATCTGTAAAACGGGGGTAACAATACTAGTGCCTTTTTCACAAGGCTGTTGTGAAATAATGCATGTAAAGCTGTAATCAGTCTACAAGTATTTATTAAACGTCTGCTCAGTGCTAAGCATCGCAGATACATGGACCAACGAACTTTTGGTAGTGAGATAAGGGAGAACTTACATCCCAAAGTGTCCGGATTGCCTGTCACTCGTGTTCTTTCCCTTACAACCTGCTGTCTCCATGACCCGTCCTTTGTCCCCTTCCCAGATGATGGGAGCGACTCAAGGCGGGACCCCAGTGTGGACTCCAGGGAGTTTTGCATGTCTGACCGGGACATCGTGGAGGTGGTGAGGACCGAGTACGTGTACACGCGTCCCCCGCCCTGGTCAGACACCCTGCCCACCATCCACGTGGTCACCCCCACCTACAGTCGCCCTGTGCAGAAGGCTGAGCTGACCCGCCTGGCCAATACACTGCTCCATGTACAAAACCTCCACTGGCTGGTGGTGGAAGACGCCCCACGCCGGACGCCCCTGACCGCCCGCCTCCTCCGGGACACGGGCCTCAACTACACACACCTGCACGTGGAGACGCCGCGGAACTACAAACTCCGGGGGGACGCCAGGGACCCCCGCATCCCCCGGGGCACCATGCAGCGCAACCTCGCACTGCGCTGGCTCCGGGAGACCTTCCCCCGCAACGCCAGCCAGCCCGGCGTGGTCTACTTCGCTGATGACGACAACACCTACAGCCTGGAACTCTTTGAGGAGGTGGGGGCAGCCACCCACCTGGCATGGCTCCTTCTGGGGGGGAAGTGGGGAGAGGAAGGCGGAAAAGGAAGATGGAAGGGTGGGTCTGCTAGGGCTGCACAGAACCCCGGAATTCTTCCCAGACGTGGAGGGAAAGAGGGGCAAGAGGGTAGGGGCCCCAGTAGATTGGCTAAAGGGTTGATGAATAGAGGGGAGAAGGGAATAAGTGACCACGGCACTGGGTCCGAAGGGCAGGATGGTGGAGAGACTCCCTTTCCGACCTTGAGGAATGCGGTAGGGTATGGTGCGATGCCAACAAAGAAAGGGACATGGTGGGGGAGGGAAGAATCTCTCAACCATCCAAGGTAACAGGAAACCAGCCTCCCCATCTCTAACCCAGTGGCCTCAGAGATATTTATAGAGCCTGGGCTTCCAACTAGAATCTGGAACATTTATCAGAAATCTTAGTTGAGACACAAACTCTCTCTATAAGAGACACTGCCATCCCCGTACACCTCTCTTCCCTACCCCACCCCTTTAAGTTGAGATAGGACCCAAACATCCCTGAAGCAAGGAAGGGAAGGAGCAAAAGGGTTCTTGTTCATTGGATCACAGATTTAGAGCTGGAAAGGATTTCAGAGGCCATTTTGCAAATAAGGAAACTGAGGCTTAAGGTTAAGTGATTTGTCCAAAGTAGCATAGTCAATTTCTATGGCAGGATTGGAATTCTAGTCTTCCTGACTCCCAAGTCCAGCACCCTAGCTGTTATGCCACCTAGTGTTCAGTTAGAGTTGGGTTTGAAGACAGAAGGCCAGACTACCTTTTGAGGGCATTGAGGTTCCATGATTCTGTGAACAACCATTAGGTCCCACTTTACATAGGACTGGGTAGCTGGCCAAGGGACAGAGAACTCAGGTGTCATCGCTTTCCCCCACCCCAACCCTACCTCCTTCCTTCATTCCCCAACTTGTAGATGCGCAGCACAAGAAAAGTGTCAGTGTGGCCTGTGGCCTTCGTGGGAGGTCTCCGGTACGAATCACCTCGGGTGAATGGGGCAGGGAAAGTGATTGGCTGGAAGACGGTTTTTGACCCCCACCGGCCATTCGCCATTGACATGGCTGGCTTTGCAGTCAACCTTCGGCTTATCCTGCAACGGAGTCAAGCCTACTTCAAGCTTCGAGGAGTCAAGGGTGGTTACCAAGAGAGCAGCCTTCTCCGTGAGCTCGTCACCCTCAATGATCTGGAGCCCAAGGCTGCCAACTGCACCAAGGTAGGGCAGCTTTGGCGACTCAAGGCATCATGGGGATATCCAAGTACTTTAAAAGCTTCAATGCTGTCAGAAGAAAAGCCCAGTCTTATAAAACGGCTCCAGTCTGGACTTATTTCCTGAGAGGAAGGGTGGTAGAGTGAACTGAGCGCTGGACTTGGACTCAGGAAGACCTGGGTTTAAATCCTGCTTCAGCCACTTACTAGATGTGTGACCCGGGGCCAGTCACTTTGCCTCAGTTAAGGGAAGATTGGACTTGATGATTTCTAAGGTTCCTTCAAGTTCTAAACATACGATCTAAAACACATAATAATGATATGAAAATATATAACCTATATATGATCTATGATCTTTTGATTTAGTAAAGAAACAGTATTACTGCTCTAGATGCTGACTAGGTAGAGAAATAGGGAAAATCTAGGGAGACAGAAACGAGTGACCCACCCAGGAAATTCACCTACACCTCAAACTATGAAGTGTTCCAGTCTTTCCATACCTATCACTATTAATTTCTGCTGCTCCAGTTGGGATGAGACTGGGAAACCTACAGAATTTTCCTTCCCTAAAACTTTCTACTTCTAGGAATTGGAATTGGAAACTGTCCCAGCTGGATCCCAAAGGAAATGGGGAGGGGGTTGACACAAAGGAGCTCAGAGGTTCCTTTTGCTTTATTTTTGCTTTATTGTTTCTGAGGGCCTGAGCACAAAGTTAATGTGCCCATTTCATGTTATAGACAAACACGTCAACAAAGAAGAACCAAGGAATTGAGGATAGGGGTGGGAGGGCCGGAAAAACATGCCTGAGGGGGAGGAGAAAGAAGGGGAGAGCAGGGAAGAGAGGACAGAGTTGTCACAAACAGAAATGGAGAAATAATAGTAGGGCCTGGGAGAGGAAAGGGATAGCAGGAAGTATGGGGTGAGTAAGAAAATGAATGAGGATGTCTGGTCCTCTCTCCAACTCACGGCATCTCCTGACACAGATCCTTGTCTGGCACACACGAACAGAGAAGCCAGTGCTGGTGAATGAGGGGAGAAAAGGCTTCACTGACCCCAATGTGGAGATTTGACATCGGGGACCCAGGTATGCAGGAATCAAGAGAATTGGATTTGGGTTGACTTGGGGTTAGACTGCTTTCTCTAGTGGGCCCCTCATGCTGGAGATGAGGTTGAGAATTAGATAGGGGAAAAGGTTAGTCAAGAGGGAAAGGACTTAGCTAGATAGTACACCCAATTCACCAGGCTCTGAACCCTGTAGAAAAACAAATGCAGAACCACTTCTTAACCCTGTACTGCCTAGTCTTGCTGAGGTCAGCATCTAAGCAGATACCTCTCCTCTGCACCTTTGAAAAATTCTTATCAGTGACCCCAGTGATGTCCCAGCTCCCTGACTTCCAACCCTTTGTCCTCTGGGTCTATTTTCCCACATTCTTACTTTCCCTTGGTTTTCTCTGCCCTTGTCACTTCCAATTCAGCCTCCACTAAACAGGTAGAAGTGCAGCCCCAGAGATCAGACACTCAGAGGACTCCTTTTTCTAGCCCCTTGTTTGAGGAAGACCTTTCTATCTCCTCTCCATTCCTTTCTTCCTCATAACACTGGGAAAGTCAGTCCCTTAGCCAATTCAGGCCCCGAATCTGAGAAAATTAACAATCAACTCAGAGTGCTAGACAGAAAGACTTGAGTGCAAATCTTGCCTCATACATTTAACAGTTCCATGACCCTAGGCATGTCATTTAAATACTCTTTGTCTCAGTTTCCTCATCTGTAAACTGGGGCTAATAATAGCCCATTCCTTCTATGGTGGTTATGCAAATTGAATTGGATAGTATTTATTAAGCACCGTGCCAATCCTAAAATGCTATATAAATGCTAGCTACCACTATCATTATTATTATTAGATAATACATTGCCTTGACATCAGCCACAAGAGCTTCCTCCAGGCTTTTTGAGGTTCTGGGCACTTTCCCACTGCAGCACTTCAAAGAATCAAGGAAGCTGAGCTTTGAGGGGTACAGGTGCTAAACGTCCCTGTTTGGAGACTCAGACTCACCTTAGTTACTTCCTCCTCTCCCATTTGCAGGAGACTCCCTCTCACAGACCCTGCTCTTGGCCTCAGAGCCTCTCTCCCCCCTGGCCGTGGGGGCCCTCATGGCAGACTCCTGAGCAATCCCTGTCACCTGTCCTTCCATCCTGGAGGCTATGGAGAAAGCCTGGTGGGACACAAGGAAGAAAGAAAAATCGTCGAAAGCACAGAAATCCCAGGCTGGTTCTCCTCCTCTGCCCAAGATGACCAAGAGACTGAGTGGGAGATCCTGGGAGTTGGGGAGTCCAGCTGATGCCAAGTGTCCCAGCCTGAGGAGACGGCCCAATGCCCCTGCATTTTTTCCCCAGAAGAATCTTCCAGCCAACACCCAGGTCCAAGAGAGGGGAAGACCCTGATACCAGGCTTGTGACTCTGAGCACTGAATGACACTCAGTGTGGGAGCTAGCAGGGGGCAACAGGAGGCACCCCAGGGGAGAAGTGCTCTCTTTCCCTTGGGTTCTTATGCTCCAGCTAGGATTTATAACATTGCACAACACAGGCCAGCCAGAGCATTTCAAAACCCCAGAAATGACCAAGAGAAAGCGTGAAATCTCTCTTCCCTCTGCCCTGTCTCTCCCCTTAGCGCCTCTCCTTGCCTCCTTACCTGCAAGTTGCTCCAAAATCAGACAGACCTCTCTCTGGCCTGGGTGGCTCTTCTTTGGTTCATGTTTACAGAACTTATGGCTGTGTTTAACCCTGGCACCTGACTAACCCTGCATGGGGGCCTGAGCCTGTCAGCAGGCGCCTACCTCAGGTTGCAATGGGACTGGCTTCTCATCTTCTATCCCTTCTCAGAACCAGCATCAGTTGAGACACCACCTCTTGCACTAGGAAGAAATCAACCCTATTCCAAAATGCTGAACTTGGGTTACAAGGCCCCACTCCCGAGCCAGGGTAGGGAAAGGGGCGTGGGAAGGGGAAGGGGTTGAGATAGTTAACAAGGCTGGAGACTAGAGCAGATTGTGGAATCCTTTCCCAGTGTCTCTCAGACCAATCAGTCACCCATCAGGCCAGGTATTAGGTATTAGGAATACCTGCCTAAAGGTAGGGAGAGGGAAGAGGGGAGGGGAGTGGCGGCAGAGTATAAAATAGAGATTCCTTCCAGTTGGGCATAGAGGGATGGGATTGGGATGGTGGCAAGAATGTGATGATATGGTGTGGCTCTGTGACTGTCACCTACCCCTTCAGTTTTTTGGGCTTCAGAGTAATAGCAGGGACAGAAGGAAAGCAGCCAAGATAACCTGGATGCTGGAGAGAGAGAGGAGCTGAGCACATATGATAGATTGGAAATTATTTAAAAAAAAATGGAGAGAAAAATGTATCTTCTCACTGAGCCAGGAGCAGCCAGATCAACCTCCCTCTATCTGCAGAAGTCACTGGCCCCCTCATTCCTTCACACCAGAGAAAAACAAATCTCCTCCCTCCTCCCTTTTCACTCCCTCCAGTCCCATTCATTACCATACCTTGGGCTCGTGGTTTTCAGTTTGGAGAATGTAAAAACTCTCCCACTGGACTGCTCTGATAGGACCCTGCCCCCAAAAGCTCCTTCTTCCTTCCCATTCTCCTGGCTGCCCATCTGTTTTTCATCCATAATTTCTCTCTCCTATTCCCTTCTTCCCTCTCCTTCGCTCTTCCCCTTGAAAGTTGGAAGCACAATTTTCCTCCTTGATGAAGGAAAAAGAAGGGATCCTACAAGAAGAGACTAACTTTTCTTAACCCCTAACAGCCAACATCCTATTCAAACCCATAGGGTGTCTCTTGAGGACTAAGGGGCATGCATAACCCACTCCTGGGTTGGAAGGAGTTTGGGGAGAGGGACAGCCTTGCAGTATTATCCTATTATTTAAAAATAATAGTGGTGACTGCCAATTTTGAGACATACTTTTAATGTCCCTCAATATTTATAACAATGGAAACCAGAAGAGTTGAACAATTAAGCTAAGCATGAATCAGGGCTTTTCCCAACAGCTTTTATTTAATGTTTTTCTTTACATTTAGGGTTGGTTTGTTTTTATTTTTGTGGGGACTTTTTGGGTTGTTGTTATTCTTGTTTTGATTTTAGGAAGCAACTCCTGTTGGGTGAAGATGGGGTAAGAGGGACAGGAAACTTCTGGATAGGCTGAATTGCAATTTGCCCAAGCCTTGGCCTGGGTAGGACAAGAGATAACCATTGTGCCCCTTTGTGGTAGCCAGCCCTGAGAGCCCAATTCATGCAGGGCTTAGGCTGGATTTAGCAAAAGCAGATCTCCTACCTGGTCAGAAACCCAGGCCTCCTTTTCAGGAAAAATAAAAGTCAACAGAAAAGGGGGAGGGGGAACATTGAAAAAAAATAACACCAAAATTTCCAGATGCTAGTCTAGTTGTTCTCACCAAAAGTCCTCTTTTAGCTGCATGTATATTTATTTATAATCATAATCCCAGTGGACTGCAGCTTTCACCTCTGCTCGGGAATGGGCTTGTTGTAGACCAGATGGACCATGTCCCTGACTGTAAACGTTTGTTCCAAACCCAGTCCCTCCCTCTACCCCAGGGGGAGTGATGTCAGTAGGATTGGGAGGTCCCAGGAACACAGACTGAGCTAGAGGGTGGAGCCTCCTTCAGCTGCACCATCTCTTCTCGGTTTTAATTGAACTGTATTTAATTTGTTTTAAAAATTAAAAGTCAAATATGGTTTTTAACAGTCATAATCCCCCTCAGCCCAGCTGGTTTTATTGAAATGTGTTTGCATTAAGAACTGAACAGGAAAACCCAGAGAGCTGACTGGGAAAGTGGGAGGCTTCAGACTGAATGTAAAAGTAATCTCCTTCAGCATGATCTGGGGGCTTTTAAAATTGTTGTCCAGAAGAGCTCTGAGGCTATAATAAGAAAAATAATAATATTTTATTATAATAGTATTTATGTAACGCCTACTATGTGCCAGGCATTGTGTTAAGTGCTTTACAATTATTATCTGATTTTGATCCTCACAACAACCCTGAGAGGTAGGTGCCATCATTATCCCCATTTTACAGATGAGGAAACTGAGGCAGAGGTTAAGTGACTTGACCAGAGTTGCCCAGCTAGTAATTGCCTGAAGCCAGATTTGAATTCGGATCTTCCTGAATGATACTCTATCCATCTTGCCATCTCTTCTTTATTTACACCTTATGGAAATGCCAGTGGAAAAAAACTCAAGATTCCAGTTTTCTGCTTGTGAATAAGGAGGGATGGACTGGTGAATACAGGTACACCTCATGGCAAGTAGATTCATCTTAGCAAATTGTCTAAAAAGAGATATCCAGAGGGGTCATTTTTTGCTTTGCAAAAAAGGATTCCCCATAGAATTCTTGAGTTAGCCAGTTCTTTGGGCATAATCCCAACAGGATTTGATCTATCTGTATCATTTAGGGAACATACCCATCATGTAAAACCCGCCCACCCCCCCACCACCCCACCCCCGCCCCTGTTCCTTCTGCTCTTTGCCCTTTCGTTCTTCCTCCACCAAGAACACACAGCTTTTTCTCCTTAGCGCCAGCTGAAGGCTGAGAAACTTGTTCAGTATTCTTTCAGTAGAGAAACATAGTGACTCAGTGTTAGGGTCTGCACCCAAACTATAGGGGCAGCTATAGGGTATGGTGGATAGAAAGCCAGGTGTGGAGTCAGGAAGACTCCTCTTCTCAAGTTCAAATCTGGTTTCAAACTTTTACTAGTTGTGTGATGCTGGGCAAGTCACTAAACCCTGTTTGCCTCAGTCTCCCTATCTGTAAAATGAGCTGGAGAAGGAAATGACCACTCCAGTATCTTTGCCAGGAAAACCCCAAATGAGGTCATGAAGAGTCGGCTATGACTGAACAACAAACACCTATACTACTTGCCCCAAGCACCACTTCTGTCCCCAGCTCCTCCAAACAGCTCTGAGTCAACTCTCGATGAGCCACATTCTGAGGAACACATGGAATAGAACCCCTGTCATTCACATGGTGTTCAACAATGCCTGGGCCTCCCATGTGCCCACAAGCACTTCAAGGCTGGACACATAAGCTGCATGGCGCGAGGCTGTTTGTGCAGCAGGGTCATTTTCATCGTCACACTTACCCTCAGCTGATGCTGAGTCTCATCTGCCTTAGGTAACAACAGGCGAGGTAGTAGCCTGAGAGAGAAAAGCATGCCTACCATCGATAATCCATCAGGTATATAGTTGAGAGATGGCTGTTCTCCACCCCAACTGCTGGGCAGAAGAGGTATGGTAAAAGCCCCATGAATGGGAACACACAGGACCCACAAAGCCCTTATTCCCACCCTTAGGCAAGGGTGTGCTGGGGGCTTTTAAAATTGTCCTCTCTAGAAAAAAAAATGTATACGTGACACATTTAGAAGTTTTAGTTACATTATTAACACTTTCTTAAGTCTAAACAATTTCTTAAGTCTAGACCAGAGGTGTCAAACATTCCAGAACCAGACGCTGACAGAACCAGATTAATATGTAATTGGGAAATATTTAACAAAATAAATAAAAATACAATAAAACATAGATAAAATTACATCTTAAAAACTAAATCAGTATGTGGCCTGCAGGGAAGCCTTATGTCAGGATTAGTTTCTATTTGAGTTTGAAGTCACTGGTCTAAAAACCAACAAAATGAATGTTTCAGTTTGAGGGTTTCAATTTCTGAGGTATAAATCCTCACTCTGCAAATCTAACTGCCTTCCCAGCTGTTCAGCACACCCCTAACCTTAGGGCTGTGGGTCTTCTTTTTCCAGGTATAGCCTTATCAAGACCAACCCCATGGTTTCCTCAGGGCCTCCCAACTCGGCTTGCCTCGCTTTTCTTGCTACTTGGAGGGATCTTGCTCAAGTCAGAGCTCTTAGTCATTTAGGGTGATACAATGCAGGGTGATGGCAGGCTTCCTTCACCTCCGCTGCCTGGGAAGAAGATCACTGGTAGAATTTTCTCTCCCTCCCTCGGTGCCCCTGCCCACCTCATCCTGGGGAGAGCTGCCCACTGAGCGGTGCAGACCCCAGAAAAGCATGGAGCCAGATTGAGAGAAGTGAGGGACAACCTGAAGACTGGACTAATCCCAACCCCCACCCCTGAATTGCCCAAGAGGCAGATCTCATTGGTCCTCTGCCTGTCCTAACCCTATTTTGTCTCCTGGCACAAATGAGCTTTTACTAGTGGAGTTCAGGAAAAACTTCAAGCAATGACTTTATTGCAATTCAGACACAACTGAACCAACCCATTGGGCATCATTCCCAGAACAGCAACACCTCAACTGAGGAAAAAGAAAACCATTCCCAAAGGAAAAAGAGGGCCAGAGCCGGCCTCTTCCCCTGAGGCCTCTCCTGCTGTTTGGATTTGGGAAGAAAAGACAGGCAAGGAGAGTCAGAAAGGTGGTTTGTGGGAGGGGAGGTAGGAGGGATCTGGCAGAGACCCCTCTGGAGTAGTCCCACATTCTCTGAGTGTTTAGTGATTCAAGGTGAAAACCTCTTGCAGGTACAATGGTACCTCAGGACATCTACCTTCCCTACCCACAAGTGCTTCCTTTACTGTTTAAATAAAACTTGCAGTAGGTTTATCCATTATTTTAAAAATGGGGGCAGGGGGAGGGGAATCAGATAAATTGGCTGGGCCCTCCTGACCTGACCACCACATACTTTGGCCTCTCTACTAGTTACATTACACTCCTATTCTAGGGGTTTGTGGTGGGAAGGGGTGGGAAGAGAATGTCTTATGTCCTGCAAATAGAGCTTTCTCTGCTATATATATCCTAGGGCTCCAGGCATTTATGGAGGGAGAGAGGGGGAGGGAAGGTCAGAGTGTCCCTCAGGCTCCACACCATTTCCCAACCCCCAATTGTCAGTGACTGGTATCAAACTGACTTCTTCAGCAGATGGGAAATACCTAAGAAATAATGTTCCTTGCTAGACAGCAGTAGGCTCTGCCTTGAGAAGTGTTCAAATTAAATTGTTACTAGGGCTAAAACAGAAAGTGATATTTACCTCCCAACTGATCAGTCAGAGAATGGAGGCTTCGATTTGCCAAATGTCTTCTTACCTACTGGTCTCAGCATCTAGTCTAGAGACCCACAGCAGTTCGCTCCGGAGAGTTTCTCCCCTTCATCTACAATCTGGCAGGGCAAGCATGAGACCCACCCCCCACAAAAACAACCCAAGAAAGGGTTCATGTTTATAATGGCAGCTAGGACAACTGTCCCCTCCCTCCACATTCTTTCCAGTTGGGCAAGAGGCCACGAGGTGATGAGTAAAAGAGGTTCCTCCCCAGAGCTGGTTCTGAAGAAGATCCTCTCGCTGTAGAGAGACATCTGAAAAGGCATCCGAAGGCTCTGGAGAGAAGAGGCTCTCGGCCTCCTTCTTCTCTGCCCCAGCCAAGAATTTCCTGAGTAATATGGAGCCAGGTGCTCAGTCAATGTAGTGACTCCTGCCTAGGTAGGGTGTGTCCATGCTCTGGATGATCATGCCTGATTCTGTTCCTCAAACACGATGACCTGGCAAAGAAAGAGAGGGGCTGGTGCCTGACAGTAGCTACAGCCAGCTCTCGTCTCATTTGAGATAGTATTTGTAAAGTCCCTCGCATGGTGCATGGCACAGAGTAGACCTTTAGCCTTCCTCTAGGCTTATGTTCTACTTCTGAGGGAAAACTAAGGCAGGAAAAGGCAGAGGCAAAGGGATGAGAAGCTTGGTAGGGAATCTCACCTCATTGTCTCCCGAGTGCAGCCAGGGGCCTGGGAGGTAGAGAGTTTCCTGGGGACCGATGTTCCAGAAGCGCCCAAGGTTCCGGCCATTGATGAATACCACTCCCTTGACCCAGCCCTGAAGGAAACAAGTCAAAGGGTTACCAGATGAGGCTTATATAGGACAAAGAAGCAAAGTAGCAGAGAAGGGGACAGTTGCAAAGGCCTAAATGTCCTTATGTCCTCCAGGCCCCTGGCAGGTGGGAGGACAGCTCCTGGGAGCTCTGCCCTACTGCCCTTAGGCCTGGAGATGATAGAGAAAGCCATGAACTGAGGAAGCTAGGAGGTGCAGTGGATAAGGCACCAGCCCTGGAGTCAGGAGGACTTGAGTTCAAATGACACTTACATATGACAAATATGACTCAAACACTTACTAGCTGTGTGACTCTGGGCAAGTCACTTAACCCCGACTGCCTCCAAAAAAAAAAAAAAGAAAGAGAAAAAGAGAGAAGAGAGAGAGAGAGAAAGGCATGAATTGAGCAAGCCCTTATTAGGGTTCTGTTGTGATCCCATTATGACTGTGGATACACCATCCCACCCCTGCAGGGCTAGTACTATTCAGCCTACCACCAGGAACTGAGCACAGCATATAGATGACAGCGCCAGGGTGGTATATACCAAATCTTCTATGCCCCTGTTGAAGACAGCCTTGGCTCTGGCAGCAAATGTTATCACAGCCACAGCTGCTAAGTTGGGGTTTCCCTTCTCTCTTAGCCCTCTGAACCCCAACCCTCTAGAGCAGGCCTGTGCAACCTGCAGCTCACAGGCCACTTACAGCTTGCCTCACACCAAAGGATTTCGGGCAGCCCATGAAAAATCTAAAGCAAAATGTCCTTTGTATGTAGAGGAAATCCTTTGGTGTGCCACAAGAGGCAGGTTTTACAGGCCTAATCTACAGCAACAGTTCTTAACCTTTCTCATGTCATAGATCCCTTTGGCAGTCTGGTGAAACCAATGGATCTCTTGTCAGAATTGTGTTTTTAAATGCATAAGAATAAAACTCATAGCATTACAGAGGAAACCAATATTAATAATGATTAAAATAATTTCAAAATTATATTTTTAATCCAGCAATCTATGGATTTTATAGAAATATTTTTTTTAAAATCCAGAGACCTATGGATTAAGAGCCCAGTTTCTACAGCACTTAGCCAGTCTCCCACAAGGAGGCCACACTGGGAGCTTCTCAGGGTCAGGGCCTTAGTTTGGAGAGTACCTCTGAGCTGTGGCCCTAAAAGCAAAGATGCCAGGGATTAAAGGACTCTCCTGGGAAGGGCAGCTTCATGAGGAAGAGCAGCTAGCTCACCCACCTCCAGCTTCAGGAAGGTATCCAGGGCTATTGAGTCAACATGAAGAGTCCCCCGGAAGAAGGCTGGACCTGTGGCTTCCTCTGGGACCTGATTCCATTTGATGGAGGACAGACTGCAAGAGGAACCCAGAAATGAGAGGAAGGGAAAGCCCAGGTCTCAATGGCAAATTCCTTCCTCTCCCTAGGGTCTCAGATAAATAACATGGACATAGAAATGGACGTCAGTGTGGCATAAAGGAAAGCACCCTGGGCTCAGAATCAGGAAAGCTTCTAGTCCCACTTTTGAAACCCACCAGCCAGGTGACCTTAATCACTTTGCCTTCTCTCTAATCCTAAATGCTCTAATCTGTAAAATGACTGGTCTGGACTAGCTAATTGCTAAAGTCTGTGGTCTTTGTCCTCAGCTTTCACAGTCCTGAAGGCTTTTGAGGTCTTGGAATCAAAGAGTACGCACATACCTCTGGAAGAAGTTTTCTTTCATCTCTAGGCTGTAGATTTTGAAATTCCGTAGGGGGGATTCATTCAGATAGATATCACCAATTAATCCTGTAGAAGCCAGGGAAGCGAGAGGGAATGAACAGGGCTGGCACAGCTCCCGAGGCCCCGGGGCAAAGACATGAAGATGGGGGCACTTATTGTATCCAGGCTAGGCCAAGAAGTTGGTTTTTTTTTCACAGAGGGCTCTGAACAGAAGGTTTCTGCAAACTATTTGAGTGGGTTTTTCTTCTGAGTACAAACTCAGCAGGATTGCCTGAGGACATGAAACTTTTCTAACAAATCCTAAAGGAATATCTCTTCTCTCTGCCAATTCTGACCAGGCCAAAATTCAAGAAAGAGCCCCAAGTGGTCCTGCCTCCTAGGGAGCTAGTTAACCTTTGCTTCTTGGAGTCAGTTTAGACCAGGGGTGGGGAACCCATGGCCTTGAGGCCACATGTGGCCCTCTAGGTCCTCACGTGTGGCCCTTTGACTGAATCCAAACTTTGGATTCAGAAGTGAAGTTTGGATTCAGTCAAAAGGCCATACTTGAGGACCTGGAGGGCCACATGTGGCCTCAAGACCCCTGCTTTAGACTTGGGGGACCTTACAAGGATAACAGAGAATGCCTCTGTGCAGCCAGTCAGGGGGCTGGGTGTTTGCCCTACTCGCGTGCCTACATTCATGAATCCCACAGGCTTTCAAGATCCCAGCCCAGCTTCCGGGATTCAGGTCACTGAATTGCCAAAGCCAGACTACACAAGGCATCTTGGTGCTCAGGAAAAGAAAAGACCTTGGTTCCCTGTAGTCTGATAATTACAACCTGTATGACCTTGGGCCTCATCTGTAAAATGACAGAATTGGACTAGATTATCTCTAACATCCTTTCCAGGTCCTATGGTTAGCAGGACAGCACATTATGGACAGAGAATGACCCTGCAAATTTATCGAGCCATGAGCAGATGACCATGCTGTGTGAGCAGACAACCATGCCAAATGAGCCATTATTAAGAATGAGTGAACAGAGTTCAGTGAGTAGCACAGAAAAGATGTCAGCTATGCTGACAGATATGAGGACAGTGCCTTGCTCAGGGCACAAACTGTAAGTTCTGGGGTTTTTCCTTAAATGAATCAATCCTCCTCAGTTCCAAAAAATCAAGTCATCCCTCCACTCCAACAGGTAAGTCATTCTATGGGACAGTCAGTCAATAAGCATTTATTAAGCACGTACTATGTACCAGACACTATGCTAAGTGCTGAGGCCACAAAGAAGGGCAGAAGACAGTCCCTGTCCTTAAGGAGCTAACAATCTAATGGGAGGAGACAATATGCAAACAACTACGTGCAGATAAACTATATACAAAATAAATTAAATACAAAAATAATTAACAGAAGGAAGCCGCCAGAATTAAGAGCGGTTGGGAAAGGCTTCCTGTAGAAGATAGGATTTTAGTTGAGACTTGAAAGAATCCAGGGAAGCCAGAAGGTGGAGAGGAGGAGGAAGAGCATTCCAGGCATGAGAGACAGCCAGAGAAAATGCCTGAAGAATGGAGATGGAGAAGGAGAACAGCAAGAAGACTGGCATCACTGGATCAATGAGTAGATGGGAGGCTGAAGGGAGGGGTGGAAGACATAAGAAGACTGTAAAAGCAGAAGGGGGCAGGTTGTGAAGGGCTTTTAATGCCAAACAGGTGATTTCACATTTGATTCTGGAAGTGATAGGAAACCACTGGAGTTTATTAAAGAGAGTGGAGGGGGTGGGGAAGGAGGCAGCAGCATTTTATGTGATCAGACCTGTGCTTTAGGAAAACCCTGGTGGCTGAATGGACGATGGACTGGAGTGGGGAGAAACTGGAGGCAGGCAGACCTGCCAGCAGCTACTGCAGTAGTCCAGGCACGAGGAGATGGTGGCCTGCATTTGGCTGGTGGCAGTGTCAGAGGAGAGAAGTGGGAATGTCTGAGAAAGGTTGTAAACGTGAAATCAACGGGCGTTGGCAACAACATAGATATGGGGGAGCTGGGGTGACACAGTGAAGAGTCAAGGATGGCACCTAGGTTTTGATCCTGGGGGACTGAAAGGATGGGGGCAGACAAGTCTGGAAGGGGGATGGAAGTTTGAGGAAAAGATAATGAGCTTGGACATGTTGAGCTTAAGATGTCTATAGGACATTAAGTCTGAGATGTCTAATAGGCAGGTGGAGGTATAATACCGGAGGTGAGCAAAGAGGTTAGGACTGGATAAGTAGATCTGAGAATCATCACCACAGAAATGATAATTTAAGCACCAAGTGAAATAGTATCTAGAGAGGAGAAACTCCAGGACACAGCCATGGGGGATACTTGTGTCAGTGGGTATACCTGGATATAGATGCAGCAAAGAAGCCTGAAGAGAGGTCAGATAAGTAGGAGGAGGACCTGGAGAGAGTGGTGTCTGGGAAACATTGAGAGAAGTACCAAGGAGACAAGGGTGATCAACAGCAGAGAGGATGAAGGATGAGGACTGAGAAAAGGCCACTCGATTTAGCAATGAAAAGATCAATGGTAATCTTTGAGAGAGCAGGCTGAATGATGAGGTCAGAAGCCAGATTACAGGGAGTTAGGAGACGGAAAAGAGAGGGAAAGGAAGCACCTACTATAGAAAGCATTCTCAGATTTAGCCACCAAGAGGAGAGCTATGGGACAGTAATTACCATTAGTGGGGATGGGTAAATGAAGGGAGGGTTTTTCAAAGATGGGGGAGACATGAGCATATTTACAGGCAGTGGGGAAAGCAGCCAACATTCAGGGATGAAGATAGGTGAGAGTGGGGGGTCTGTGGGTAGTAGAGCTTTCCTAGGGTTAGGTCCTGAGGGAGAAATCTGGGACTCACTGTAAGAAGCACATACCGTGTTCAGGGTCCCTCAGTAACCTCACAGGAGAATCTAACTCAATAAGCATTTATTAAGCATCTACTCTCTATAAGGCACTGTACCAGGCACTGAAGACACAAAGACATAATGAAATTGCTACCACCCTCACAGAGCTTAGATTCTACTTGGGAACAAGAGACACAAGGTGATGGGTGGGCCTGATGAAGGAGCTTACAGAAGCTGGGAATCCAGAGAACATCACTAGACTTAGCTGGAGGGGGAGGGGGAAGAGTGGGGGGCAGGGAAGGAGACTGGAGGGAAGAAGGGGGGAAGGACAGGGCCGCTGAGAATGCAGAAAGCTGCTTGGAATCCCCTCATGAGAGCCCTGGTTCTCTGCACCCCAGTGGGTCCAAGGAAGCTGAGATTCCTCACTTCTCTGGCAATGTACCAAAAGATAGGTCCTGCCCAAAGTGGTACAATACCTGAGATTTCAAGAACCAGAAAATCATTTGGGTTAACAAGTTTCTTCTTTTTAAAATGCAAAATACCTTTGGGAAAGTGAGGGGAAGAGTGAGAAATGGGAGGGGAGGTCTATAAGTCATTTATCTTTCATGTGAGTTAGTTTAATAGTATTGTTCTCTTTCCTATACCGCCTAGCTACACAAATGTCACTCACACAATAAGAGTTTTGATAGTGGAAGGTGAGAATTTTGGAGGATGAGTCGCTTAAAGGAAGAAGGGCAGACATGGTTAAGGATATAAATTACAAATGGTAGCATAGAGCACTAGATGCCCAGGGAGTGAAAGAAGAGAGGACAGTGGAAGAAAGGAGAAAATAAGAACCTCTCTGTCTGCCTCCTCAGACCCATATTCCTGTAATTAGGAACACAACCCCCATAAGCAGGAAAGATATACTACTATTTCTAAGGTATTCTCCTAGGTTCCAAACTAGTAATACCCCACCACCATCATAAAAAACAACAACAACAACAGATATGAGGTTAGATTGGCATGATTTGTTTTTGTTGAATCTGTCTGAAGAAGTTACAGCTTTGTATAGAAAATAAGGTCCAACAGGAAAGGGACTTCTCCAACCTTGCTTACACTCTCCTCTGGCCCTACAAAGCATGGGCTTATAAGGAAAGGAGAGTGGCCATGGCCATCTTCTCTAGTCCTGGAGAATTCTCTCTTTAGCTGAGAAATTTGGCTCTTTTCCACATCCCTCAAGTTCTGCCTGATCACACCTGAGAAACTTCCTCATCCTTTCTCTCCTCTTCACCTGCTACTAGGAACCTGGGAAAGCTTTCCAGGAGTAGGCCCTGGGTAAACAGCACACAGAAATGGGACAAGTTCACGGAGGGATCTGGGGCTGTGTCCGCCTAAAGTCTGAAAGGATAGTGCCCAGGACGAGGCTGATCTCTCTGGCCTAATACACTGGCGATCCACCTGGTGGGACCAGACCAACCTCAATGTTATTCCATTCTCTGCCACATTGTCCCACGGTTGGCTGATGGGGAGAAAGAATTCACACGTGTGCTTTTTCAGCCTGAGGAAGGCAACTCTCACTGGCCTGGCCCTAGGCTCCCCTTCTCTGCCTTTGGAGCAGAAGCAGATATTAGCTGAGAGGTGCTCAATCCCACCTGACCTGGCTTCCTTCATCCTCCCAACCCTGTCCTGGCATCTCCCAGAGCCCACCTTTCCGCTGTTTATTGAGCATCCGGCCATAGTTGACTCGACCACGATTCTCCACTAGGATACTCAGCTTACGATGACCCTATAAGAGATGCATAAACCCCCCGTGACTCCATGGCCTCAGCATCCATGGCACTGGAGCAATCCCTCAAGGCTTCTCCTGTGGCATTTTCCAGCTCCTCATGAAGCCATCTTTGGGAATGAGCCAAACACAGCTGCCTTATGGGGGGGATCCATACCCAGCACAAACCCCAGCTGCTCGACGCTCTGTCTCCCACAACATCCCTCCCTTCCCACTGACTTCCTGGGACACAGTGCAATCTCAGCAACTAGAACAGGACTACATGATATTGGTTGTCTTTGGGGCTGGGGAAGCTCTGGAAAGAGCTTGCTGTACAAGGAGACAATTAGAACTGGAAAACACACGGAAGCTTGACCCTGCAATTACAAACCTGACTCTTAGGGATAGGCAGTTCTTCAAATCCATAGGCCATGTATCCAATGTATATCTTGTTCACAAACACCTGTGAAAGAGAGAGCAGAAGCACTGATGAGCTCCCCAAAAGGGATGAGATGTTACTGCTAAGAAAAGAAAGAAGCCATCAGGGGCAGCTAGGTGGTGCAGTGGATAGAGCACCAGCCCTGGAGTCAGGAGGAACTGAGTTCAAATGTGTGTCTCAGACTAGACATTTGATATTTACGAGCTGTGTGACTCTGGGCAAGTCACTTAACCCCAACTGCCTCGCCAAAAAAAAAAAAAGTCATTAAGGGAGCAGTTAAGTATATCAGGTAGGGTTAGAAGCTGAGAACAAATGATGGGTCAGAGTAGACCACAAACTGAATGACAGCTGCAAAGTATACTGGTTTCTCTCTCTTTTTTTCATATAAACATAACTGTGGAATGTTTAAGGTCACCCTCACCACTTTATTCAGCTCTGGTCAGAAACTGATGAGTCTAATTCTAGACTCTACCACCAAAAAAGGATCGTGGAGAATGAAGTGAAATGAATGAATGAATGCTCAAAGAAGAAGGCTAAAGAATAAAGGATGAAGGAAAAAGAGTATTTACTTGGCATGGCCAAAAGGAAATTGAAGAGAAATGAGGCCAATCAATAAACCCACCCCAAGTGCAGAGAGAGGCTCTCAGTGGGCAGCAGTTGCCTCCCTTGCCAGTCTCCTGGCCCATACCTGGGCCCGGTCCCGAATGTGGTCCTTGGAGGAAAGAGTGCCTCCTTCATAGATAGAAGTCTCATAGAGTATGTACCCATAGGATTGGCCATTGCCTTGGTTCACTGACAGATTCTCCATATTGATAGGCTTCTCACTTTCAAATGGCTGTGAAAGGAAGCAGGAGATGAGCACAAAGTGAGGGTGAGCTCTTTAATTCAACAAATATTTAAATACCTATTCCATGCAAGAATAAAAAAAAAAGTCTCTGTACTCCAGGAGCATAATTATATTCTACGGGGAAGATATGACATGTGCATAGTGAAGTAAGGCAATCTGGGGGGGGAGGGGAAGAGAGATAAACTCACAAGCGGGAAGGCTGAGCAGATTCTAATATGCAGATGGGAGGGTGGGAGAGGAAATGGAAAGGAGGGAGTGCATTCCAGAAATGAGAGACCACTGGTATAAACTCAAAGAGAAGAAATGATGGATTTGGGGGAGCAGCTAGTCATCAGTCAACAAACACTTAACAGGAGCCTGCTATGTGCCGAGCACTGTGCTAAACATTGAGTGTGCAAAGGCAGAGATCCTGCCTTCAAAGAGCTCACAGTCTAATGGAGGAGACAACCTGGTTGTAAACAACCATGGACAAAACAAGCTACCTACAGGATAGACCAGAAATAATCAACAGAGCGAAGGCACTAGAATTATGGGAGATCAGGAAAGGTTTCTTGTAGAAGGTGGGATTTTAGCCATCCATGGGGGACAGCAAGAAGTAAAGATGAGGAGGCAGAGACTTCTTGGCCTAGGGAGACAGCCAGAGAAAGTGCCTGGAGCTGAGAGAGAGTGCCTGGTGTGGGGAACAGCAAGGGATCCGGTGTCACGGGATCAGAAAGTATGAAGAGATAACAAAAGGGAAAGAAGACTAGAAAGGTAGAAGGGGGCCAGTTGGTGAAAGGTTTTCAATGCCAAAAAGAGAGTTTTATATTTTATCCCAAAGGGAACAGGGAGTCAGTAGAGCCTACTGTGTAAGGGGCCAGTTTTATGTTTTTTATGTTTTAGGAAAATCAATTTGATAGAGGACTGATTAAAGTCCCTACTGCAACAGACCAGGCTTGGGGTGAGTGATGAGGACCTGCACCAGGGTCCAGTGCTAGAGAAGAGAAGGAAGGATACACAAGAAATGTTCAAATCAACAGGGCTTGGCAACAGGTTGGATACCGGACAGGGGGGTGAGATATAGTGAACGTTTGAGGATGACTCCTAGTTTGTAAGCCTGGGTGACTGAGGATAATGGTACCCTAGAGAGTAAAAGAAAAGTTGGAAAAAGGGAAAAAATAGTGAGGTCAGTTTTGGCTATGTTGGGTTTAAGATGCCTATGAAACATTCAGTTAGAGAAGTCCAATAGACAGAAGGAGATGCAATACTGGAAGTCAGCAGAGAGGTTACCACTAGATAAGTAATTTTAGAATCATCATCTTAGAGATGACAATTGAATGGAAGGAAGGAAGGAGGAAGGAAGGAAGGAAGGAGGAAAGAAGGATACCAGTTTGGCTGGTACATAGAATGTTGAGAATAATAAGAGATAAGCCTGGAAAGTCAGACTGTAGAAATCCTTAAATGTCAGCCTGAAAAGTTTGTATTTTATCAGAGGGGAAACAGAAAGCCTGAAAATTTTTGATCGCTTTTAGATTCTTTTCGAAGCTGTATGGAGGATGGATTGGACAGAGGAGAGACTAGAGGCAAGGAAACCAATTATGAGGCTATTACAATAATCCAGGCAGGAGGGGATGAGGGCCTGAACTAGGTTAGTGGCCAAGAGAGTGGAGAAAATAGGACAGAAGGGAGAAATGTCAGGGGCACTGAACTGACAGGTCTTGGCAAATGATTGGCTATGAGAGATGAGGGGAAGTAAAGAATCCAGTTTAAATTGGAAGTTATGAACATAGGTGACTTCCCCACAACATAAACAGGGAAGTTTAGAGAAGATGTGGGTTTAGGGGAAATGAGAAGTTCCAATTTGGACATGTTCAGTTTGAGATGCCCATAGGACTTAAGGTGAAGATTATCCAGAAGGGGCAATCCAAGACTCAAGGTATGGGAAGGAAGGGAATATAAAGATCTGTCATTTAGCTGGGAGTAGATAAGATTAACAAGACATGAGAGTGTAGAGACAAAGCCTTCAGCAAACTCATAGTTAAGGGACAAAAGGTAGACAATGACCCAACAAAGAAAGATGAGTGGTCAGACAGGCACAGAGGGGAGCCAGTGAGGGAACAGTGCCAAAGAAGTCAAAAAGGAAGAGAGCATCTGGAAGGATCAATGGTATCAAAGCTGCAAGAAGATCAAGAAGCATAAGGTCTGGGAAGGCAACCTGAATCAATTGAATTGAAGCTTGTGAAACTTCCTTACTGAAGCCCAGTATCATAACCATAACAGTTCACACTTACATAGTGCTTTATGGCTTACATCCCAACAACTCTGTGAGGTATAAGTGTTATTATCATTCCAATTTTGTAGGTGAGGAAACAAACGAAAAGAAATGAAATGACTGTTCCTAAGTCTCCAGAGCTGACTCTAGTGCGATTCTTTCCATTACACCATAGCAATGGTCCCCCAGGGTCCATTTGGAACACAAGAGATTTGTTAAGAAATGGCATGTGTACATGTATAATCGATACCAAATTGCTTGCCTTCTCAAGGAGAGACAGGAGAGAGGGAGAGAGAAAGGAGGGAGAGAATTTGGAACTCAAATTTTTAAAAAATTAATGTTAAAATTTGTTTATATGTAATTGAGAAAAAATAAAATAAGAAAAACAAGATTTAAAAAAAAGAAATGGCACATGTAATAATGGTGATTATATTCCATACCTAGCTATAACAATTTGACTGTTTCAAACCCATCTGTCACAGCATGGCTGTGAGTAGGCCAGGGAGACCTGACATCCAGAAGCTAAGTGATTAGTGTGAGGTCATTCGACACACCCCAGTAAAGCCAGGACTAAAATCTTGGACCCTAGACTCTCTCTGAACTGCTTCTCAGCTGAAGGAGTACACCAGAGTCCAATCAGGCCTAAAAAGGAGAATGTGCCCCATGTCCTGTTTCATGAGCCAGCATTTTTTCTTCAGGTTCAGTCTTCCCTTCTTCAGATGTGCCTGGCCCAAGTTGGGGCTACGTTCCCTGTATTTCTAAAGCTTAGAGACATGTCCAAGAGCTCAAAAAACCTGACTTTCCTTTCCCCTGGATTGTGGGTCTAAGCCGTTGTCTTCTCCTTCTGCTTTTAATCTCGTCTAGAAAGTACCCACCTTGCCCACGTGCTCCAAGGCATCCCACAGTGACATGTAGTGTGAGGGCTTCACAGCATGGTAGGAGGCCTTCGGCATTGTGGCAGGCGGGTGGGGCAGTGGATTATCTGTAATGCCAATGAAGAATAAGGGAAATCCCGGAACCCTGCAGCATGGTCCCTGACTCCTCTGTTCCCTCTTCTACTTTGCTCAGGCGACAGATCGTGTTTCTTTATCTTTAGGCCCACAATAGTGGACCTAGGCCTGGAACAAGCGTGAAGAATCCAAGGAAAGAAAAGCTGTCTTTGTAGGTTTTCCCTGTGTGGGGTTCTCTTAGTCTCTGCAAGCTGGCACTGGTCTCACTGGACACAGTGCCCACTGCCCTGAGAGGGCAGCTGTACAGTTGAGGAGGCACCAGACACTATGGCGCTATCTACCAGCCCCTCACATCTCCATTCAGGATTTTCTGGGAAGCTGAGAGTATGTTTCTGAGCTAGATCAAGAAGTAAATAGACCAGCTTCAGAATCAAGTAGGTGATGGATACCTATGATGGTGCTGAAGAACTCCCGAAGCTTGAAGAACTTGGGTGTGTAATCCCCAGCTTCCGTCAGTACGGCATCATAGTCTGTAAGAAGTCACAGGAACCATAAGTGGGGAGGTCCCCAGGGCAACCGAATTTACCACCTTCTGCAAACCAGACTGTTCTTAGTCAGTAATCTGTAATGAAACACCTCCTGCTATGCTGAGCCCTGTGCTACCCACTTCAGGGAGGCGACAGATCAAAGTGACGCTTTCCTTGCCTTCCGGGAATCATGACACAATGAGGAAGAGCCCATTCCAGCCCGGGGCAGATAGCATGTCCCTAAGAGGAGAACTAAGGATGCTCTGATCCAAAAGTACCTCCCTTTCCCATCTCAATACTGCTTCTCTCCTTGCCTGCCACCTAGAAACAGCAGTTACAAGGCAGTTAGACACACCTGTCAGTATTTCTGGCCTGCAGTTGCTAGGAGGTAAAAAGTGAGTGATATTTGCAATGGCTCTTTGTGTCTGGGAATCTAGGCAGTCAATTAATCAGACAGTAGCATTTATTCTTCGGCCTATAAAGTCCAACCTGTTGCAAACTACAGTGATGGTCTGTGACCAAACTGATGCAGTGAAGTGAAAGGAAGGGAATATGATGTACATATCACCCTAAGCCCAAGTCTCAGGGAACTTTATATGCAAATAAGCTAATGGTGTCAGCAGGTATCTTCAGGGACCTTTCCTGGAAAAGGTCCAGAGTCACAAATGCTAAGGTTTATTTTCCTGGGAACGATCCAAACCATAGGTTCGAACTAGGTCACAAGAGTAGGAAGATGAAAACCAGAAGCAACATCAGGGCATACTTACCATAGCTCGTGACATCAGCCTTGTATTCACCAAAATGCTGAGCCCCGTTCATGAAACCAAAGTTGGTTCCTCCATGAAACATGTAAAGGTTGAGGGAGGCACCCATCTGGATGATAGAGGAAACAGTGACCACCACATCTACAGGAGAGTGAGGGGGACAGAGTTAAGTGTCTGAGGGCCCTGAAGGACCCCCGCTACCTCTTCCAGTACCATCTCAAATTCAATCTAAGCTCTGTTGTCCAGAACCCACCAAGCACTAGAGCTAGAAAATGGTTGGATTGATCAGAACCTCTCCCCACATCTCCATCAACTGAAATCCTTCTCATCCTTCAGGCTCAACTCAAATCCTTCCTTCTCCATGAAGCCTTCCTTGATCTCCCCACCTGGAAAAGTTTTTCCTTTGGGCCTTTGGGGTCTTTCATTTTTATCTCTTTTATGTGATCAGTACATCTTGTTTGTATTATTTATAAACAAATAGTAGATTTACATACTGTATAGTATATAAAACAGATAGTATATAATACTATACATACTAAGCAAAATATGAAATATTATATGCACTATGCAAAATACAAAATAGCATATAGTAAATAACATGTAGTATTCATATATACCATATAATTATATATGTGTATGTATATACACACAGACACAGACACAGACACACACACACACACACACACACACACACACACACACACGGAAGCAGCTAGGTGGCTCAGTGGATACAGTGCTGGGCCTGGAGTCAGGAAGACCTGAGTTCAAACCCAGACTCAGACACTTACTAGCTGTGTGACCCTGGGCAAGTCACCTAACCTCTGATTGACTTAATTCACTGAAGAAATGGCAACCATTTTATATCTTTGCCAAGAAAACCCCATGAGGGGCAGCTAGATGGCATGGTAGATAAAGCTCCAGCCTTGGAGTCAAGAAGACCTGAGTACAAATCTAGCCTTAGATACTTGACACTTACTAGCTGTGTGACCTTGGGCAAGTCACTTAACCCCAACTGCCTCACCAAAAAAAAAAAATAAAGAAAAAAGAAAACCCCATGGACAGTACTGATGTGACATGGTCCATGAGATCGTGAAGAGTCAGACATGACTGAAGAACTGAATAACAACAGCAAAAAAAAATACATATATATATATACTATATATATATATACATATATATTATGTTCATATTATATTTGTGTGTATAGCTATATACATATATACATATACATACATACATATATGTGTGTATCTATATATGTATATAGCTATACACACAAATATAATATGAACATATATATATGTATATATATATACATATATATATATATGTTCATATTATATTTGTGTGTATAGCTATATACATATATACATATACATACATACATATATGTGTGTATCTATATATGTATATTATTACAGATGAGAAAACTGAGTCCTGAAGAAGCAAAGGAGCTGGTCCAAAGTTCTAAGTGCAGCTCCACTCTGTGGCTGGAGCAGGCATCACGTTGTCATGGAGAAGCCTTCATTCACATTTCCCCCCTCATAGCTGTGGGATCACAGGCAAGTCACTTGTACCCCACCCCGTTTCCCCCAGGGTTGTTGTGGCATCAAATGAGATAATGTATGTCAAGCATCTAAGAAACCTAAAAGCACTACCTACAGGTCAGTTATTGGCAGTAGCAGCTGCAAAGATGGGTCTAAAACCCACATTTCCAATTAAATATTCTTTTCAGAAACATCACTATGTCTCAACAAGACATAAGAAAGTAAATTTGCTTTTTTTTTTTGGCCAGGGGTGGGGGGAAACAACAGAGGTTAAGTGATTTGCCCAGGGTCACACAGCTAGTATCTGAGTCCATTTTTGAACTCAGGTCTTCCTGAATGCAGAGCTGGTGTTTTATTTACTGCGCCACCTAGCTGCCCCAAATTTGCTTTATTAAAAAAACAAATTATCATTTCAGAACTGAATCAAAATGACTTATATTATCCACACACTGTCCTCTGTCCCTCCTCCTTCCATTGTCATAGATAATTGAGAACTGAGTTACCTAGCCACTGCAGACATAGATCCCCACAAATGTGCTTGTGCCCAGAGTGTAGCTATCTGGCCAGAAGGTTTTGTGCTGATGAATGATGCAGGAGCCTGTGTTTTGCTTATGCTCTGGATTCCCCAGCTGCAGATTACTCACCGTCAGCATCCACGATGTTGTGGGGACCACCCCATGTGTCAAACCATCCCGTCCAATATTCTGTCACCATTGTGGGCTTATTTTCCTGGGAACAATCCAAACCATAAGTTGGAACTAGGCCGCAAGAGTAGGAAGATGAAAACCAGAGGCCACGAGTCCCCTAGAAGTTCCCCATGAGTCCCAAAAGGACCCAGATATCCATCCTCTTTCCAACCACAAATGAGTTAACTGTGGGATCTGCCCAACGTCAATGCTGCTCGCAGAAATAACGAAAGCAGCAGGGATCGGTCCAAGAATGGCAGAATGCTCCCTGGTGCCAGGGCTGGGGCCTGCCATCCTGCCTCCTGAACACGCTGACCTGCCAGGGGGTGATTGCTGAGCCTACAGAGGCAAAACGAGAGAAGGGGCCAAAGATGATGCCACAGATGCTGGCTATCAGCTTAACACACCTGCAGCACTGCACAGGGTATCGGAAGAAAAGCTTCAGACCTTATTGGAGCTAGGTCTTCATCATCATCATAGCTAGTAGTGATCCAGAGTTCTTTAAAAGTCTGCAAAGTGCTTGACCTACATTGCCTCATTTAATTCTCACAGAAACCTTGTAAGGTCGGTGCTATTAAGGTTGTTGTTGTTCAGACATTTCAGTCATGTGTGATTCTTCGTGACCCCGTTTGGGGTTTTCTTGGCAAAGATACTGGAGTAGTTTGCCATTTCCTTCTCCAGCTCATTTTAGAGATCAGGAAACTGAGGCAAACAGAATTGAGTAACTTGTCCAGAGTCACACAGCTAGTCAGTGTGCGAGGCCAGATTTGAGGTCAGGTTTTTCTGAATCCAGGCCTGGCGCTCTACCTCCTGTGCCACCTAGCTACCCCAGATGGTGGCTAGAATGGGAGTCAACGAAACACAAGCAGGGGAAAATGTAGGATGGCATTATGAAGTGAGGCATTAGATAAATTCTCTGCATCCTGTACTTGCTCTCCCAGTCACCCAGGAGACACTGTGATAGTATTTGATGCTTCCATTCCCTTCGTCCATTTTTGAGATACACAAAAGAGGAACAGGAGATGATCTGAACAACCTTTAAAAGCCGTCTGCCAAAACAGGCGTATGATCTGGTCAGAGACTGTCTCTCCAAAGAGTACAGAGACAGAAGAGCCTTTGGAGGAACGGGCAGGCCCTCAATGAAGCACTTCTTTGCACAGAAAAAAAAAAGTCCTATCTTGGTGAGATGCGGGGATAGTGAATAAAGTGCTGGGCCCAGAGTCAGGAAAACGTGAGTTCAAATCTGACCTCAGACACTTACTAGCTGTGTGACCCTGAGCAAGTCACTTGACTCTGTTTGCCTCAGTTTCCTCATCTGTAAAATGAAACGGCCAACCACTCCTGTATTTTTGACAAGAAAACCCCAAATAGGGTCATAAAAGAGTTGGACATGACTGAAATGATAACAACAACATTCACAACTAGCGACATTACCACGTGTCTCTGGGATAAAGAAAGATGTGTCATAAGATCCAAGGCCACTAGACAAGAAGAGGGTGGCTCCTCAAGACCAGAAGCTAAAGAAATCTCCCAGGCTTTTTGTTCCTGTCCTTTGCCCAATATAGTCCTTGCAGGTAGACTGACTCCAAGTGGTAGCTTTGCACCCTGGTACAAAAGAACACCCAGATTTACAGATCTGTCACCCAATATTCATAATTGTGGTCCTGCTGCTCAGCTTGGATTCAAACATTCTCCATAGGAATGTATAATCAGCCACCACCACCACGGGAACGGTTGTTACAAACACCACACTCTTTCACAGGGAGAAGAAGGTTGTCTGTTATTAAGGTAAAAGGATTTACTGCTTCATTGATTAAGGGAGGTCGGACTCAGCAATTTCTGGCTTAGAATGCTCGTCTTGAACGTCTGTCCTAGGGAACAAGATTTGGGAGGCAGCACATCTCCCTTCTTATTCTGGGTACTAGAAATACTTAATCAATATAACAAGAAGAATGGGTCACCGGGGAAGGAGATGGAAGAAGGTGCAGGTAGCACCTTGCAAAGCCATGTGGGAGATTCCCCTGGGAAATCCCTATAGCACTGGGATTGTGGGAAGCAGCCAAATGGACAGACAGCATCAGCATTTTCTCTGGGGATGCCTAGGGGTGTCAGGGAGTAGAAAGAGGGCCAGGTTATACACAAGGATGAATGGCACATGGGCTGGGAGTGAGTTATGGTTAATAGATGCTGGAAGCTGTGCAGCTATGACATGTATGATGTTGGGGCCTGAGAATTTCCTCCTTATGTCTTGCCTGTGATGAGTGGGGTTTGTTCAAAGGTGTCAAAATTGGCCTGGGATCTTAGCTTCTGCTACTCTAAGGCCCATATGCAGTGTGCCCCAGAAATGATGAAGCTATGGTCAGAGCAAGCCTAGGGTGACTTCTCTGAATTGTACCAGCTGAGCTCACTCTCAGTCCTGTGGGAAAGGTAACCAGAACTAACCACTAGAAATATAACATATACTGCATCAAAAACTCAAATTTCAAGAACAGAGAATAAATAATAAAGATAAAATTCATATAGTGCTTTAAAGTTTGCAGAACTTTATAAATACTGTCTCATTTGATCCTCACCACAACCCTAGGAAGTAGGTGCTATTATTATCATTCCCACTTTACAGATGAGGAGATTGAGGTAAACAGGTTAGGCGACTTGTCCAGGGTCACACAGCTGGTATGTGAATCCAGATTTGAACTCAGAATTTCCTGGCTCCAGGAAATCCACTGTATCACCTAGATGCCTAATATGGACTTGTTCCATGTCCTAAAGGTCACTCCAGAAAGAGTGACAATTTGACACTTAAAACCTAGCTTTTACAAACAATAGACCCTTGCCCCCATGGCATAATTGTATTTCACAGGGTTTAGTTATCGAGTAAAATAGGTTCCTGGCCACCACCACAGCATACTAGTACACATCATGACCCTTGAAGAGACTGAGGAGCAGGACCCTGGATTATTCAGGATGCCAGGGTTTTATCGTTGCTTATAGGGGAGTGAAAGATTATTGAGGCTCTTGATTCACTGCAAGATTTGAAACTTTTACAATAGGCCACTTAGAGACACTGTGTGTCTAAGATGCTTCCAGCATCTATTAACCATAACTCACTCCCAGCACCTATGCCATTCACCCCTTACGTATAACCTGGCCCTCTTTCTGCTCCCTGGCACCCCTAGGCATCCTCAGAGGAAATATAATTGGACTGAACACCCATTAATACCTCTATAAAGCTCAGTGAATATTAAGTGATCTTCACAGGGGTATCACCTCAGAGGATCCATGGGACCTCATGGAGGTAGAGTCTATGACTCAAGAATTCTTCTCATTGAAAGCCAAGAACATGTTTTGGCTTTGGCACATAACTGTGTGACCTGAGGCAAGGCCCTTCCCCTGCTGGGCCTTTCATTCATCCTCCCATGGCACAGTGTGAACTAAATAACAGCTAAGGTCCCTTCCAGCCCTAAATTCCATGACTCATGAAGTTCCCATGCCATCAGGTTTAGGAAGAACTAGGTCAGTGCTAATTTCAAGAAGAAACTCTTGAGTTTGGGCTGGACGTGGACCTGGCTTTGAGCCAACCCAGGACCTTGTTAGAGGGCCCCAGAAGACCTCTGGACATGGACCTAGGCCCCATGAGAATCTCCAGGGGGACCTGCCGTCGTGCCGGCCCTTCATTCTTTTGCAGTGGTGACAACTGGTGGTGATATTTCTACGAAGCAATGTTCTTTCCCATCTGCTGTTTCTGTGCCCAGACAGTGAATCATCAATTCTTTCCCCTTTCTGCCTCCTGAAATCCTGTGCATCCTTCAAGATGGAGGTCAAATCCCAATGCTCCATGAAGCCTTCTTTCCTCAGCAACCTCACTGGAAGCTTGGGCCCTAGCCTATGCCACAGCCTCTGTCACTAATGATTCATTTATCACATACCTGCTGCTATTTATTATAATTATTAGTCTTGAATGTGTGTGTGTGTGTGTGTGTGTGTGTGTGTGTGTGTGTGTGTGAGATATCCCCAAACAGAGAAGTCACTTGAGGGAAGAGACCTTTTTCATATGCCAGAGCCCAAGCATGATGGAATGGTGGAGCAGGGGATGGAGTCTCTGGTGGAAATACGCCCTTTCAGAGCTAACACTCAGTATTTCCTAAAGGTTCCTCTTCTCCAACATTACTGTCTAGCGGACTGGGCTCGGTGTCCAGAGCACTCATGCCAAAGCCAGTGGAAGCAGGAGTAAGGCCTTCAACTCTTCTGACCAGGCCTGGGGCAGAGCTGGCGCAGCTCCTGAGAATGGGAGCCAAGGCCTGGGCAGGATGTGGACACCTGACCCAAATAGAGCCTATGCTTAGGCCATTTCTTTCCACTTAGGAGAGGTGCACAGATCTGGTCATCAAAAAAATCAATCTGCAGAGGATTTAGCAGTAAATTCTCCTTAATCCACTGGATATTAAGTACACATCCAAAGAACCTTTTTTTTTTCCCTCCAGCTTCCCTGAAATCAGATTCACTGTCTTCCTGATGCCAATGAACTTCCCAGAACCTGAGAGAGGGTTTGCAAGCTGGAGATGCTGCAGAGGCTCTTCAGGACATGACAAGGCCCAGATTCCCCATCCACCACCACAGTCTTTGGGGGTTCTAAGAAAGAGCCATCCTCAGAATGTGGGTCCCGGGGCACATGATGATTTTAAAGTGCCCTGTCCCAAACATTTGTTTACTGATAATAAAAACCTAAAGGGAACACCAAAGGCAGGCCCAAAAGAGATGAAGTATTCTGGAAGGACAAGCTATGAACTGAAGGGCAAGTGTCAGGGGATAGGGGTTTTGCTGCCAGGTGCACAGCACTGCTTTTGATGCTGACTCTAAGTATATTAGGAGCACTTATGGCACTTTTCAGCAGTCATCACCTCTTCTGACTCTCTGCCTTGTGCCAACTGTGATTCCCATCAAAAGACATGAATCCCATGGCATGCACGGTACAGTGGAAACAGCCCTGGATCTGGAGTCAGAGGACCTAGACTGAAATCTCACTTCCTGGCCTTTACTATCTGTGTGACCTAGGAAGGGTCTCTTATCCTTCCTGCATCTCAGTTTCTTCATCCAAAAAATAAGATTGGACTAGATTTGTCTCTGAGATCCCTCCCAGCTATAGATCTGTGACCTCATACAATGATCTTATGCATAAACAATAACCCATATTTGCCAAACTCTAAGGACAGCTCTGGCCATATCTGGAGTGATGGGAGAGTGGAGAGTGGATGCTCAAAATTAATAGGATCTAATAGGTTTTCCTCCCATGATCTCCATTGCCTGCCAAGACAAAGCAGATCCCCAAACTACCTAACATTAGAAAGACCAGATGTGCCAACTGATGCAAAAAAAATTGGGCGGGTATGCTTACTATAATTTACTCTATGGTACACTTTGTATATTTTATTATAATTTGCTATCATTTCTCCTACCTGTGCAAATGCACTTTAAATAAAAATGATTATTTAAAGTATAACATCTTTCATTCTATCTCCATTTTCTTTGCCTTGATGGACTTAAAAAAATGTACTGCATCAATTGCTGCAGCTGGGGCCTTCAAGACATTCTTAAATTCTTGTCCTTCAGGCCCCAGTGAAACCCACACAGACGTTGGCCATGGGGATCTCTGGAGCTGGGAAAGTGTGAAAACTCATGCTTACAGATTCCCTTACAGGACTTCAAAATCTTAAAAACCTGCTGGAGTCCAAGAGGAGTCTTATATCTGCTTTACCCAGGAGGGGCAGTGAAAAGAAGGGAGAGGGCCCATCTGTGGCATGACAGAACAAGTCCTGGGAGGGACAGAAGCCAGGAGCATCTCAAGCCTCTCTTATTATCCCTGAGAAGTCTTTTAACTTCAGAAGCTTCTGGAAGCCCAGGTTACCAGTGAGGAGGAGGAGGGAGTTTACATCTTCCTGCCAAAACTCCTTGACTTGACTATGCTCATGACCACTGAGAATACTCAGATGCTTAGACAAGAGAGGCTCTTCTACTCATAATATCCTTACCTGGAATGAATGGAGATAGTTGAAAATCATGGAATCCACATGCTTCAAATTGACAGTAGCCAGCACTGTGGAAGAAAAGGAGAAATGCTGTAATAATGACATTAATAATAGCTAGAATTTATATAGTGCTTTAAGGTTTGCAAAGCACTTTACATGTTTTATCTCACTTGATACTCAAAATAACCCCATGTAATAGGTGCTATCCCCATTTTTACAGATGAGGAAACTGAGGCACCAAAAGGTTAAGTGACTTGCCCATGGTCATCCAACTAATAGGTATCTGAAACAGAATCTGAACTCAGAGAAACTTGATTCCAAGTCCATCACTCTATCTACTGCACCACCTCGATTCCTGTACAAGTTGTATTGCCACCAGGGACCACTGGGAGAAGCAATGTTATCCACACCAAGTTAGGTCAAAATGCCCCTGGTCCCAGCCAGGAGATATAGGACCCAGCACCTCTATTTACATTCTACATTGGCTTATCCAGAGGCATCCTAAGCTAGATGTAAGTGGGAAAAAGTTTGTGTTCCTGAAAATCCTTGGCCTCAGCTACAGAACTCACCATGAGCAATATTCAAGGGATGGTAAAAAAAAAAACCATTCATCATTAGAACCAAACTGTTCTTCAACCCACCATTAAAATCTCTGGCCCACTATTTATCTCTTTCCATCGATGTGTCATTTCCCTAACTACACTCTCTATTTCTATTGATTATATGTTTGTCCAGACTGTTATTTAATAACAGGTTCCCAGAGGGCAAGGACCACATCCCGTGTTGATTCTGAATCCTGACAGTCCAGCACTTTGGGTGACTTTGGATCACCACTGCCCTGGTGAGGAAAGCAGGAAGATAGGGCTTGGCCACTAGCTCCATTCTCCTTGACAAAGCAATGATAAGGAGACAGTGACCTCTGGTGGAGACGACTCAAAATTGTTGCTGCCTTGGGAAAGGCTGGGAGATCTGGGCTCTCCTCTACCTGCCTCCCCTCTCTCTTGGACCAAAGGAAAAGGTTCAGGGGCCAGTCCCTGAAGATAATGGAATTCCCTCCTCTCTTCACTGCTCCTCAGAACCTGAGCCTTTGGCAAGACTCCACCCCTGAGTTACTTCCATGGTATTCCCATCCTCACCCCACTTCCATGGCCCCAGATAGGCCCTACTGCCAGAGATGGGCACTCTGAAAAAAATTTCAAAAGGAAATAGGAAGAGACAAGTACCCATGAATGAATGGGGGTATATGCCCACAGTTCAAAGGACTTGTGTGAGGCTTGTCTCCCCAGTGGCCATGCTCTCTCAACACTACGTGGCAGGGTCCTCCCATGGAGACTTTCACCAGTGGTCCCTCCCTAGAGGGTGAAGGCAAACATACGACGCCTACAAGATGGCCCCACAATCCAGGGCTGCCAGTGTTCCTGTGCCCCATGTGAAAGCACAGTATCACAGGCAACAAACAGCATGAGAGGGGTCAGAGCTAGGAGGAAGGGTGACCAGTGCTCAGCTGTGGCCAAGGTTAGGAAGGTCCACCAAAAAGCCCAGAGACATGAACAGCAGGGCCTGGGCAACACACACAGTGAAGGGCTTTGCTAAGGAGCTGCTCAGAGCTGCTTATCTGAATCTAGTTCTTTCCCCACTTTCCTTTTCTTCTACCCCAAACCATACTTGCTCTTCACTTGATAAGACCTCATGGATTTGGTATTCACTGGTCCACTCACTGCTTCTCTCCTCTTAGTAGCCAGGTGCTTAAGACCTGGCTCTTACCTGCCTCATTTCGTTCACATGGTTTGCAAATACAGGATCATTTTTTAGATAATTCTGATGGCTCCTAACTCTATTGTGGGCCCATCCTGGCATGGGTCAAAGGGAACTGGGAAGGATAGAAAAAGTGTCCTGTGACCTGCAGAATCCTGTTACCTCCCTTGATGGAGTGAAGCAGCCAGGACAAAGAAGCAGACGTGTGAACGATTTCCAGACTCGGTCCTGTCACTTAGCCCTTTGAAAGATGGAAATTGTGAAAATAGGGAAGAGCAGGTTCAAGAAAATCCCTGATACTGAGCTCTGCCCAATTCTCTCACTTGTCTAGACAATGAGTTCAGGCCAAAGTGACTGCTCGCCCCCTGTTCCACGTGTCTGTACCTCCTTCCAAGAAGCCTCCACTCAGGCCATCCTTGTTGTCTGAAGTCATAAGCAGCTCAACGATCCCTCTATTCAACAGGGCCTGAAGGGAAACAAAACAAGATAAACTACTCACTTTCCTCCCTCCTTCCCTCTGGGGTCCCCTCCACCATTAGAAAAAGTAGTGACAGTCACAAACAAATTGTGGTCCTGACAGGTAGGATGCAGAGGAGAGGCAAAGGAATAAAACTAAGTGTCCACATCCCTACAGCACAGAGATAAGGAGAAATTGCTACCTTGGCAGCGGCCTCACTTAGCAGTGCCAAGGGGGTAATTAAGGCCTCAAATTGTTTTTGTGGGAATCACAGCTGGGGATGCTGCAGTGAAAATCTGGACTTCTGGGTAGCTGCTCCTGATCTGGGTCAGGGTGGCTGCCTTCTTTCGGACACCGTGACATTCTTAGGGTCAGTCAGTCACACTGAAGCAGAGATCCTATGATCACCTGCCTTTAGTCTCGAGGGTGTGCTGATTTGACAGGGAGCTAGGTTTGTTTCTCTGTGTTTATACTGGAGCTAAGAAGCACAGGGATAGCACCTCCTATACCCACCAGCAGCCTAGTTGCTCAATTCATCGAAAACAGCCTTCTGAGCCCCAAAGAAGCTTTTAAATATCTCTTGGGAGCAATCACCCAAGTGGCTAATCTCACTAGTGACAGCATTAAAGTGTTTCTGACTGGGCCAGTCCTGCCCCTACTTAGGCAGCCTGATGTCCCCCGGATCCTGAGAGGCTCACCACACTGGTGCAGGCTTACTGTGGACAGGATCCTTAGTCCTTATGCAGCTCAGAATTCCCGAGCTCAAAACCATCAGGCTCAGCCTCTCCACTAGAAAGGATTACAGGTGTTCACTAACACTCCGGGCAGTCCAGTATATGAGCAAACATGCTACATGTTATACTCTGACACTTTGGTGAGCTTTGGTTCAATCTACCCACTCAGTCACAGTCCTTGGAGAAAGGCATATTTGTTAGAACATTCTTACCAGCTGTACTCATGAAGGGCACACTGAGGCCAGAATCATCTGGGGAGGGGGATAGGGGTAAAGATCTGGTTATTTCATTATCCCTAGTAATTATTAGAATCAGAAGGCAGGATTGATGAAGTGGTCTCATGAAGGAAGTAGAAAAATTTCTCTAAGAGCCCACTGGTTTTATCTCTTGAGAAAGGCAATTTCCACTTCCACAACTCCTATCACCTTTTGACCGCAGGTCTAAATGTTAGAGATTTTTTTAAAAAATCCAATGTAGATGAGATGACAATTCTAGGACAGCACTCTGTTCAAAATTAAAACGAATGAGGCCAAGAAAAAAATCATGCAAGGTCAGTCTGGCAAAGATCAGAGCCTGGCAGAGCACAATCCACTGAAGAATAAAAACCTTTCTTTCCCACATTAGGTCCTCTTGGTCCTAAAGATTTTTGTGTAGCTAGCTACCTATACATACAGAAAAGAATCAAGCAAGGTGCAAGAGAAAAAGGACACAGTAACCCTCCTTACACACCTAAGCCATGGGAACTCTGAGGTGCCAATTCTCACATGTGAGGGTATTTTTCCATGCTGAACACAAACCACACAAATAGGAGAAAACAAACACAGCTACACTTTTCAGCTGCACACCAGGCTTATCCAGATCCATCAAACTCATTCCTGGCACATAAGTTCTCAAGAACAATAATGCTCTTTAGTCAGTTTCTCACAGAGAGACAAAAGAGCACACGCCCCTCCTATATAAGCACACTGGCTGCAGGCAGCCTATATGCAGGGGAAATTTAGGAAGAATATTGGGAGTGGCATCTTAGAGTAGGATGTCCAGTATGGTACAGGCACTCCAAATCATGCCATGGAATGATGAATCAATCAACATTTATTAAGCACCTACTGTGTGTCAGGCACTAGGCTCAGCTGAAGGAACCTGCCTGTCGTGGCACATTTGAAGGGCTGACACATGGAAAAGAGATTGTTCTGTGTGGTCTAGGAAGGCAGATGGAAGACCCAGTGGATGGAAGGAGACAGATTTTGGCTCACCATGAGAAAAAAAAGAAAGGAAAACAAAGCTTCCTAATAATTAGACTTGTGCAAGAGGGGAGTGAGCTAATAGTAAGCGCTTAACAAATGTTTGTTGACTTGATTTGAAAATGTTGAAGCAGAAGCCGACTGACCACTATTCACAGAGATCTTTGAGAAAGAGTTCAGTTTCAGGCTAGGCCATGTTGAGCACTGAGCTTCCTTCTAGTTCTAAGGCTCTGCCTCTTCTCCTCCAAAAGGCCACACCTGGGGCCCTGCCGCAGCTACACTTCATCTCACTGTGATACCACCAATAAGGCCCATGTTTCTTGCAATTTGGAATAGAAACTAAGGCAGGGTCATATATACCCTGGCACTGGCCCGCAGGGACATGGTACTGTGTGAGTGGCTTCAGGGGGGTCAGTACTTTTGCAGACATAAATCTTGCCCCATCCAGGCCTGCCCATCCTATATGACTCTTGCCCATGTAATCTTATAAAGCCACCCAATGTGCTGGGATCTTCCACTACATTTCCTGGGTGGAGAGCTGGTCTTGCAGTCAAGAAGGCTTGGGTAGGAGGCCCACCTCAGACACATCCTGGCTACATGACCCTGAGCAAGTCGCTTAATTTCTCACTGCCCCAGGTAACTCTCTAAGACTCCAACTTGTAGAACAGGGCTTCCTTACCAAGAAGGTCCCTATACCAGTGAAATTTACAGGTCTGGGCCAAAAACAAAACAAAACAAAACAAACAAAACAAAACAGCTGTTAGGATTGCGTGTGAATAATTATTAGGACTGATTAAAGCAGTTCCTGATGCAAAATAATTATCTGAGGTAATGTCCCATTTTAATGAGTACTGATTTGCATATTTATTTTTGAGCTAAATTTTCCCCAAAGTGATCAATGCATAGTTTAATTCCATACACTTGAAAAATACACTCTGCTGTCTTCAAGGAGGCAAGTACAGCTATCCCTTCTGCATCACACTTTCCCCTCTGCGGTTTCAATATGTCACGGGTCAGCACAGGAAATTAAATGGGAATTTTGGGGGAGTTTTGTGGAAGCCACAGATGACACAGAGCCGGTGACCAAATACTTAGCCCAAATTTTACAATGTTACTGTAAACACACCATGAAAGAAAAAAAAAATTCAGACTACTTCGGTACAAAGGATTTTCCAGACTGTGGGGGCACTGTACCCCTAACCCCCACACAATGTGGAAAGAATAACTATATAGACTGCCAATATGCACTCTTAGCAACATAAAACAATCCTAAATTCACAGGCCTTTTTAGCATATACCCACAGAGGGCAGCTCCTCCACACAAGGGTTGTTATCTGACATTCCCCAAGGCAAAAACCTCCTTTGGAAGCAGAGAATAAAGCAGAAGCACGGATGGGGCTGTATGAGATGGTAGGTCTGACGGGAAGCATTCCCCCATAGGTTATAAATAAAAGAGGAGACCCCCCAAGACACAGGCTGCTCATGTTTGAGGGGAAGATGCTAAGACTGCAGATGTGACAACCTCAGGGAAAAAACAGGTCCCAGGGACTGTCTCAGTCAGGTTCCTCAACAGGGACCGGTTTCGAGAACTACTCATGCCGACAGATGTTTTCACCAAGAAACTCACCCAACAGAAAGAGGGAGGAGGTTATGGCTGCTGGCGGGGCTGGGAACTTTCCAACTTATTTTTTCAAAGAGCTTTGGGGAATAGAGTAGAGACAACAGACAGAGGAAGTGAAGGAAAAAAGTGTCCAGTATCTAATCACCGAACACCCCACCCCTTTCATCAGGTCCCACCTACTGAAACAAAGCATATTCAGCTACCCAAAAACAAATAACAGCAATGGCCTCAATTAGATTGATAAGATACAGCCTAGCAGCAACATCAGGGCAAGGAGAGGGCATTGGCAACCTTCACCTCCAGGAGTCAAAGTTCCAAAGCATGAGTCAGTTCATACTAATGGGTCCTCACGTCACAGATTTTCTGCATGGATGGGTTGATTCTTATTAAAAACCACCTCTTAGGGGCAATTAGGTGACACAGTGGATAGAGTACTGGCCCTGAAGTCAGGAGGACCTGAGTTCAAATCCAGCCTCAGATCAAACACTTGATACTTACTAGCTGTGTGGCCCTGGGCGAGTCACTTAACCCCAACTGCCTGAAAAAAAAAAAAACACCTCTACCTCTCATGTTGCTTGATGGACTCACCCCTTAACCTATATTAACCAAACCAGCCCACTTCCCACACAACCCCCTAGCTGTCATTACAACTGTGATATGCTATAAAGAACACAGGATGGGGAGAGGGGACGACTAAATTCAAAGATCTACTTTGAAGTTCCATCACTCATTAACAAATTCACTTCATTTCTCTGGACGTTAGTTTGCTCACCTGCTAAATGAAGAGGTACTGCAAGAAACAGAATCTTAGATTTGTACGACACCATGCAAAGCTAACTGCCTGGAAAAATAACTTATATTAGTAATAATATATAATATATAACATATTATATATTATATCTTTACTTATAGTACTTACTCTACTTATATTACTTTTTCAAGGTTTGCAAGGCACTTTCATCACCACAACCCAGTGAAGTAGGTAGCACAAGTATTATAAGTCCCATTTTAATGATAAGGAAACCCAGGTTCAATGAGGTTACATTACTTCCCCACAGCCAGACAGCTGATAAGTATCACAGCCAGGTCTCCTGGCTACAGAACTCTTTCCACTAGGCCAAAATGAAGAAGCCACCTCATCCTGGCTCCTCAAATGAAGGATTCAGGTTTAATTTGGAGCTTAGCCAATTAAAGTGTTAGGAGCTGGCCAAGGAGGAGAGGCCAGATTCAACTAAAAGGTCACCTTGGTAGCCAGTGGCCCCAGTTGGCCTTCCAGAGTAGTTTATATCTGAAACATAGGCACCACAGAGAGGGAAAAATCACAACAGATTTTAGTGAAAGAGAAAAGAACAGAGAATTAAGATTGACCTGGAGATGAAAAAGCTAAGAAGTAGCTTGATTACTGCTAGATAAAGATGGATAAAGATGACTTAGTCTCCAACTAGCATGAGGAATTTAGCGTGCAGGACTGACTGTAGAATTTCCCACAGCCCACAAAGTTCGTAGGCTGATCCAGGTGAGTAAAGGAAGTCTGCCATTTAGGACAAACAGATGAGGCTTTAAGCCTGGACTAGCTCCTCTGCAATCTTACCTGAAGCTAGAGAGGAAGCCCAGTATAGAAAGAGCCTGGTCCTGGAGTCAGGAGCTCGGGGTTCAAACAGTACCTCTGACACTCCCCACCTGCAGGATCTTGGGTAAGTCACTTACCACCTTGGGCCTCAGCTGTAAAATGAAGGGCCTGGTCCACATGACTCCTGAGTTAGGTAAGTAATTCCACTGGCAAGACACAATGGTGACTGTTCATGGCTGTACCAGGAGGGGGCTAGGAGTGGCCTGCCATCCACTTGGCCGATGAGTCTGTCTCCGGTAATGTAAAGTATACATGTTTGCACACACTCCAATTTTCCTCCCTCCTCTCTTCACCATGGTAACCACTACCCCTCCCTACCTGGCCAGGCCAAGAGCTGGCCAAAAGAGAATGAAGAATCCCCAAATGCAGTGCCACCGAGGGTCATGCCCTTGTGTCTTGATGTACTGTTTGGGTAAGAACGGTTTAGGTGACAATTTCCAGGAGTTGCTGAAGAAACTGACACCTCAGCCACCGGAGGGTCTGTGAGAAGCCTCTGCCCCAATCCCACTTTCACCTCTTGAATTTATAAACCTCAGTCTCGAGCAGCTTCAGGGAAGCAAAGGTTTTAATTTGACAGTTACCTGTTCCTTCCCCACCCTCAACACAGACCCATCTCCCTAGACACCAAGGGAATCAAGTATAAGCAGAAGGTGAGGTCCCCGAAGCCACTCTGGGCTCTTCGCTCATGCCACTGAGACTTCTCTCTCCCTACAGCAGAGTAAGAAGATAAACAACTCCCTGCAATCCTAAGGCCCCGGAGACCAGCTTGGAGAGATGTGTGAAATGTGTAGGAGACAGTCATTAGGCCTGTCTGTGATCTCGCTGTCTTGTACCTTGTAGGTACTCATTCGACATCTATGGAACAAAGGAAAGGCTAACTCAGAGAAGGGGTTGGGGAAAGGGCAAGTGGGTGCTCGGGAATCCCTCTGCACTTGATTCAGTCATCAGACAAAGAGGCTCAGAAACACGCAACTTCCCTTCCCAGGGCTGTGCTGGGTGTCCTCCGTTCCCAGACAGGCCAACTTGCTACACAGACCCCATAGGGAGAGGAGAGGAGAGAGGCAAGTGAGACTAAAGAAAGGATGTGAGCTGTGGGAAGGGATGAAAGTGAGGGGTGAGGGATCACAAGTTTCTGCGGAAAAGAGTTAAGTGGGTCCAGAAAAAGAAGTCTCTAGGTGGGGACCAGTCTGTTCATTACAAGAGAGATTTCACCACAGAGAACCAAGAGCCCAAGCTAGATATGGTGGATTAAATGGGGATGCTTCTTTGGGTCCCTTCCCACAATCTACCCACCAAGATGCTCCATGGCCCTTAAAGCTAGTCCCTCATCTATCTGTATATACCTTGCAGGGAAAGGGAGAGTCTTCCGGGAAGCCCGCCCCCAATTAATCCTACTCAATCCTGTTAACTCAATTATTTGTGAATTCAGTTTGACTCAGTGACAGATCTTTCCCTTGCCTGTATGCTGTATCCCTATGTCTGTACATATCATTTTCAGTCGTATCCGACTCTTCCTGACCCCTTTGGGTGTTTTTTGGCAATGATACTGTAGTGGTTTGCTACTCATTTTACAGACGAGGAAATTGAGGCTAACAAGGTTAAGTGACTTTCCCAGGGTCACACAGCTAATAAGTGTCTGAGGCCACATTTAAACTCAGGTCTTCCTGACTCCAGGCCCAGTCAGTGCTCTATTCACTGTGCCAAAATGTTTTCCTTTGTGCCTTTCCCACCTCCCCAGCTAGAGTATAAGCACCTCAAACATCTGGTCAGGTCTCTCCTCTACTTTAAAAAAAATCTTCCCTAGTTTCCTACTGCCTACTGAGCAAAGTTTCTATTTCTTTGACTGACTTGAAGTCCCACTACAATGTGGCACCGATCTACCTTTCCAGCCATTTCTCATCCTATTCCTCTCCATATAATGGATGTTCCACTAAAACTGGATTACTCGATGTCCCCCTCACAGGCTGTGAGTTTTCCCATTCCTGTGCCTTTGATCACATTGTCTCCTATTCCTAAAATATCACAGAATCATAGAATCAGAGCTGGAAGGGGGTCTCAGATCATCCTTGTTTTATACATGAGGAAACAGGCCCAGAGAAATGACTTTCCCAAGGTCACACAGGAAGTAGTCATCAGAGCTGGGACATGAACCCCGAAATGCAGCACTCTTTCCCCTGCACTGGGCTGCCACAACTTCCCCCCACCCCCATCCCCTTTCACTTCTTAACTTTATAAACCTCCTTTAAAGACTAGTTCACAGCACCCCTCCCCCCAGGAACCTTCCCTGCTCCTCCCAGGCAACAATGAACTGTTCTCCCTCAGACCTCACCCCCCCCCCCAAAAAAACACTTCATTTTATATCTAAGGTCCTTATCACATGCTATAGTTATCCCTAAGTGCTATCCGGCTACCCATGAAACCTGAAAGAACTACATCTGAAGTCTGTGGAAATAAGACCTGTTAAGGGGTGAGTCACCAAGTTTATCTAAACTTGACAACAAGGTGACCTGCACACAGTAGGCAAAAGAAGGGCTAGGGCAGCATTTTTGGTTTCTATTCTATCTCTTCTCTCCACATATCTCTAGTTTCTAGTAAAAGACAATTACTAACTGATGCTGAGCACATGATGCTGATAAAAGACTATTTCTATCACTATTTCAATCAAAGTGAGAGAAGGGACCCAGGGTCTGGGACAGCCCTAGCACTAGACAGCTCCATTTTCTATTTGGATGAGCCAGGGATGAATTTATCTCCAAGAAGAAGCAGAGACTTCTGTGGTTGTGAAGGATGATGGGACAGAGAAGAAACCTTGGGAGACCCAAAGACCAAGAGATGCAGCTCTTACCGTCTTAATGTAGGGCATATAGTTTGAGTCCTTGTCATAGGAGCCGTATTCATTCTCCACCTGCACGGCGATGATGGGCCCTCCCTGCTTGTACTGAGAAGGGAGATGGGCGTTAGCACCGAGTCCCATTACGTGGTAAAGGTAGGTAGGCCCTCTGATGATATCGCACCAACCCATGGTAGCCTCTTCTCCAAATCACATCATGTTCTGCACTCTGACCCCCCCCCCCAAATCCCACCTCACCTAACTCTATCTGGACCCACCAATTTCCTGGGCTATGATCCCAAGAGGAATGTTGGTGCAGTATAAACACTAGCTGTACCATCAGGAACAATCACTCAGCCTCACAGAGACTACTTCCTCACCTGTAATATAAGATCAGTACTCTTACTTCCCAGGGTGGTTGTGAGTGAAGTGCTTTATGAAACTCAAAACTGCATTAATGTGCATCATTACTCTAAGCCTTGCTCCCCACCAATAATGCTCACTTGTGATCTATGTGAGATATATGGAAGCATTGAGACACATCCAGAAGAGTGATTTTCACCACTGTCTGCAGATCCTGTTCTAGATCATCAATATCAGTACTGTTGAGATTAGAGAGTAAACCTCTTAGCTAGGAAATACCAAGAGATGCCGTGACAGTCTCAAAAGAAAACTAAATGCAATTCACTTTGATTTAAACAAAGAATAGTAGCCATACAAGACTTATTTTGGAAGGCGATAGAGCAAATAAGGATGTCACAACAAAAAGATGGGAAATCACAGACCTACAGATCAGGCTTTGTACCTGAGCATGCGTGCATGCATATGTGAGTATGTATATGCGTGCACACTCAGCTTCTCTTGTACAGGATTTAGTTGTGTGCAATTAGAAGCCAAATAAAGGCTTTCTGGAGATCATCAAGGTATTCATTAACCATCCATCTGCATGTGATGAAAGGCTCTATAAAGCCCATAAATACATAGGTCCTGACCTCAGCATCTAATGATCTCAGCCAACACCATGATGCATATACTCTGAAGGAGATGCTGCAAACAAGTGCCAAAGTACTCACAGGCAAATGGAGAAGTCTTCCATAATGGTGCATGAAGAGAATCCTGGGAATCAGAAGGTGGGGCAGGATAGGATAGGAAACCTGCCACCCCAAAGTGGAAGAATTGGAGCCAAAGTCTGTCCTATGGCTTGTGTGTTTTTCAGTAGCCTCAGGGCTCAAGGATTTAATAAGACTCACCTGTTTCCCTGGAAATGAAGGGGATGTGGGGTTGTTTGGTTTTACCTGCAGTGGAACCACTCTGGGAATCAGATGATTAAAATAATGATCCACAGCTGAAATGAAGCCATTATAGGTTGTTCTCAGCTCCATGTGGGAATCTTGGAGTAACCAGCTAGAAGTGAAAAGAGGAGAGACTCAGGGACATAAAAGCGGGGTGGAGACTAATTAAGGGATGAAGCTAAAGACCAGGGCTGACCTAAATTCACACAATTCTCAAGCAGCCGCCAAACCCCAGAGGCACAAGCCACCAAAGCTTGGACAACAAACACCTCAAGCCCTTCATCCATGACTGCTCCCTGGTAGAGGGCACAGGCAGGAATTCAGCACGGGCTCCCCACACAGGCTGCAGGTCAGGGAGCCAGCCAGAGGCAGAAAAGCATCTCACCACAAGGAGCTCCAGGGCACTGGGGGATCAGCTTCCTGAGGACTTCTACCCACAATCCTCCCATCTACAGGCAGTCCAAGCCAAATCATTTAAGGGTTTTCTGGGAGCAGAAAATCTAGCAGGACTCAACCCGTATCCCTTTCCAATGTCAGCCACGAAAATGAGCTTGAAATCAGAATGGCACAAGTAGTCCACTTTTTTGAGTCACCATCAATTCTGATGGAGGCTGTGGGTGCTAACAGAAATTACTAGGCTTCATCAGCCTGGTCAGCAGAGCAACCCTCAGAAAGTAAGGAGGGACTGGGATGCAAGATGGGCGTAGCTTTCATACCATCTACCCTATGATCCCCAAAACTCCACAAGGACAGCCACTGAGCCAAGGGTGAGATAGAAAGTCCAAGCTACTAACTTGAGCACCTCACCCTCTCTTACATCTAGGAGAACAATGCTCATTCTGCAAGCATCGTCTGTGTTTCTAGAGTCCTGATGCCAGTCCAGAAATCACAGGCAGAAGCGCAAAGTGATCTGCTAGTGTATAATCAAGGGCATAGAGAAGGTGGCAACCTTCTCCAATTTAAACATTCGTTTAATGCCCCCCACTCACCCTTGAACCAAACTGGACTTGTATCATACACTTCATCTCTGGCTTTTGGAACTAGTCCTGATTTACTAATACTCCTCCATTACAAGACTCTGCCTTTTTGCCCTTCGCCCAATCCTGACCCTTCTTGGGGGTGTGTGTGTGTGTGTGTGTGTGTGTGTGTGTGTGTGTGTGTGTGTGTGTGTGTGTGTGTGTGTGTGTGTGTGTGTGTGTGTGTTCATGTTTATGCTGCCTTTCCTAATGGATGTCACGTCCCAGCATAAGCAGGTGACAGCACACAGAAATCTCAGTGCCAAAGGTACTTGCTGCTGCCTTAACATTCCTTAATCCCTTCCTGCTGCTATTAGCCCAGCTCAATTCAACCTGATGAACTCTGAAAAGTTCATAAGGATCTTTCAACCACTTGGGCACAAGAAGGTATGAAAAGAAGAGGAGAGCAAAGTCACTAATATTCTGTATGCTGGCAGCCTCCTCTGGGCACAGGTGTCATGGCTATGAACAATGGGAAACTAAATAATCAGGGGGATTACAGTTTGGAAACTGCTGTGCAGGCAGAGAGTTACAAGCAGACATAACAGCATTTGTTTTGGGGTATTTTTGTTTTGTTTTTTTGGTTTTTGGTGAGGCAATTGGGGTTAAGTGACTTGCTCAGGGTCACACAGCTAGTAAGTGTCAAAGTGTCTGAGGCCAAATTTGAACTCAGGTCCTCCTGACTCCAGGGCCGGTGCTCAGCACGCATTCTTATAAATGAAAAAGTGAGAAGCAAAATAAGCATAAAATACTCAGGCGAGTTTTATCCCAACTATGGGTCAACCCTTCCTTCATCCACTCCTTTCCACTATATCAATATTGCCCATACCATGACAACAAGAGAAGATCTAAGATATACCAAAAAAAACCCAAATCCTCATCTTTATGTGCCCTTTCTGCCTTTCAAAGCACTTACATGTTTTCTCTCATATTTTATCCTAAACACCAGGGAAAGTGAGATGCAGAGAAGTTAAGTGATGTGCAGTAGCATCTACTTAGAAGCACAATCACTTTGTTGAGGCAATGAGTGTTGAAGATGCCCTATCCTGCCAGTTCCTACCTGGCACCCTACAGTAAAATCTCATAGGAATTCTGCCTGGATAATACCCATTGCTATGTCTACAGTTTTTTAAACTTATTTTGTTTTATTTAACATGTGTTTTTAAAACTTTGGGTTCCAAATTTTCTCCCTTCCTCCATCCCCACCCACCCTCATTTAAAAGGCAAGCATCCTGATACAGGTTATAGATGTGTAGTCATGCAACACACTTCCATAGCAGTCCTGTTGTGAAAAACCAAGTATATTTCCCCTCATCCTATCCTACCCCCATTTATTCTGTTCTCTCTTTTGACCCTGTCCCTCCTCAGAAGTGTTTGCTTTTGATTATCCCCTCCCCCAATCTGCCCTCCCCTCTATCAACCGCCTACTCTCTTGTCCCCTTCCCCCCTTATTTTCCTGAAGGGTAAGACAGATTTCCATACCCAATTGAGTATGTATGTTATTCCCTCCTTAAGCCAAATCCTATGAGAATAAGATTCACTCATTCCCTCTCACCTTCCCCCATTTCCCCTCCACTGTAAAAACCTTTTCTTGTCTGTTTCATGTGAGATAATTTACCCCATTCTCCTTCTCCCAATAAAATCCTCCCTCACCCCTTAATGTTATTTTTCAGATATCACCCTTTCATCTTCAATTCACCCTGTGCCAGCTATCTATCTATTATATATGTATGTGTATACATATATATATACATATATATACATATACATACACATAATTTTTTCCCTCCCACTACTCTAATACTGACAAAGGACTCATGAGTTACAAATATTATCTTTCCATGCAGGAATGTAAACAGTTCAACCTTAATAAGTCCCTTATGATTTCTCTTTCCCGTTTACCTCTTCCATGTTTCACTTGAGTCTTGTATTTGAAAGTCAAATTTTCTATTCAGCTCTGGTCTTTTCATCAAGAATGCTTGAAAGTCCCCTATTTCACTGAATGACCATTTTTTACCCTGAAGGGCTATATTCAGCTTTGCTGGATAGGTTATTCTTGGTTGTAATCCTATCTCCTTTGCCCTCTGGAGTGTCATACTCCATGCCCTCGTGTCTACAGTTTTAAGGGCTCATATTGTTGATTTTTAACATAAAGAGGAAAATAAACTTTAAAAGAGAGTGCATACTTCTGTGGTTTATATTTTGGAATATCTGGAATCCCTGTGCTATATTGATCACTTCAACCTTACCTGGGCAAGCCCCCAAGGTCCCACTCACTGCAGATGTAGGGACCAGGGCGCAGAATCACCCACAGCCCAATATCTGCTGCCATCTGGACAAAGGCCCTAAAGAGGAGGAAGACAATACGAGTGCCACTTAATAAAGCCAAAAGCAGAGGCAAGGATGTAAGATCTCAATTAGCAATCCTGGATAACTGCACTGCTCAGGTGCTCTCCAGACTGAAGTTCTTCTCCCTCAGTTTGGAAGTCAGGAGAGAGCAGAGCTCTTGGTTCTGACTAAAGAAGAGGCAGGAGCAGCTGTTACCCAGAAGGGAAAGGAATTCATCTTACCCTAAGATGCAACAACCCTTCCCTTTCTCCTCCCCAGCCCCCACACACAGAGTCAGGGGTTCTCATCTGCCTAGATCAATAAATCTGCCTAGGTTCTCTGGGGGTACAGGGAAGGAGGAGCTCAGAGGGGTAACTCACTCCAGCTTTACCTTGTCTTACTAACCAAGGGCATGGGAATCCCTTGTCACATCACAGGTGGCAGGTTTCATACTGCTGACTAGACCTGCAAAACCCTGGGCTTTTAAGCCGATCTCTAGATTAAGGCAAGGGAGGACTGACCACAGAAGCTAGGTCATAGCCCTGCTGGGAGAAATCAGATTATCTGCTGGAAAGGACCTGGCTCTGAATACAGGGACAGTGTTCCCAGCGTTTTAGAACCTGGACCCCAGAGTTTTGGTTTCCAAGAATAAAGATCAGATTTCCCCTTCTACTTTCCTTTCCCATTTACAGTATCCATCCCCCAACCTCCCCACAAAGAAATAACTTGGCACTTAAGACATACTCTACATCCAAGTTCCCACTGAAGTTAAACTTTCCTCTTTCCGGCTCATGGAGATTCCAGGGAATATACCTGCAACCAAAAGAAAAAGAATCAGGGGGCAGGGTAGGTGGCGCAGTGGATACAGTACCGGCCCTGAACTCAGGAGGACCTGAGTCCAAATCCGGCCTCAGGCCAAACATTTGACACTTACTAGCTATGTGACCCTGGGCAAGTCACTTAACCCCAATTGCCTAAAAATAAAAAAATTTTAAAAAAAAGAAGAAGAAGAAGAGTCAGACAGACTCACCTCATTCCACCTGTCTCCAAGTAATCTTTCCTACCCTGAGCTTTGGGATCAGATACCTGGGAGTGCTCCACTTCTGTTAAAAACCTATGGTGATATACCCAAGGGATTCTCTCCAGGCTCTTCCTGCCACCCAACTGAGGCTGCCAACATTAAACTGCCTCCAAAGAACTGACAAGCTGAGTGTGAACCCTGCTGTCTTGGCATGTCTCTGAGTGTGCTCAAAAGCAAATGGGAATGATTTGGGGATTTACCCTCATTTTGGATTACCCATTCCTCTGATCCCTTCCATTATAGAAATGGCTCTTATCTGTGACTTCACTGATATAGGGAACTCCTGGTAAGGAAACTCCCTCTACTAACAGAGACTAACAACAATTCTACAACATACAGTCTTAGGGAGCTGCCCTGGACCCAAGGGAAGCAAAGCCATTAGCCTCAGACCCAGCTTCATTACCCACCTGATACATCAGACTTAGCCATAAAACTTTATAGTCACAGCTGATGTGTAGAATTTGCCCAAGAATCTTGTGTTCCATGGACTATTATTGTGTTTAGGTCTTTGTGAAGGAACCCACTGGACCATGTCAAATTCGTAGTGGTTCAGGGGCCTTGGATCACTCTGTTCAATCTGAACTCTAGCATCCCATGTCCCTTCTTTATATCCAAGGACCTGAACAGCTGTGGTGGTATGTGACCCACAGCATTCCCATTTTCATTATACCTCCACTTTTCCCTCACCACATTAAATGCCATCTTAGCTAGATAGCTGCCTTTTTCCCTTTCATAGCTGAACCACAACTGAAGGTTGAGCAAGGGTTTTTCTTTACAAGGTAAATTTAATTTATCTAAAGGGTACAAAGAATCATACATCTGGCCTGCAACAAGTATATTAGTTTCTGCTAGATTCATCCTGAATTTCAAAGGATAAAGCTCCATGAAGACAGGCCCCATCCCACATGGGCTATATTTCTTCCTCCCAAGTTGATAGTTAAACAGCCTTCTTCTTGCCAAGATACTCTGCCACACACCCTTGGCTTCACTTACGCTTCCCAGCAAGAAACAGCATCAGCCAGTCCGGCCTCCTACAGGGTGCTACCTATGTTCTCATTATGCCCAAAATACATCGCAAATATCATTCCATCACAACTTTATCTTCCTTACTGGTCTGAAAGTTTCCTAAGAGCAAGAGGTTCTCCCCTAAGAGCCTGAGTGCTTCCCTTAGGACAGGGGCTGTTTTTTCCCCTCTTCCTTGTCTCTCTCCTGTCTTCCACACCCAGCCCTGCCCTGTTTCCCCCTCCCTTCCCAATACCAGTTTTCCATACCTCTACCCCAACCAGGACCAGTCTGGGCATCTCCCAAAACAAGTTTGCTAAGTGGCAGTGGCTCAGTTATTTGGGGGCTAAGCAGGAAATAGCCATAAATTCTGATCACAGGTAGCCAGAGCTAGAAGTTATGACCATGGTTTCTAAAGGTCTTTGTGGATAACAAGGGTAGGATTTGGGGAGAGCGAAGGACCCTCAATACTTACGTAGTGAGGGTGTTTAAGCCACAGGCCTTCAACTTCAGCAATCGATCTCTCCAATATTCCCTGGGCACTCGAAAGTAGTGTATAGAGCCCCCCAAAATTTGGAAGTTGGAGCCCTCCAGCAAGAAGTTCGGTCCCTCAGCCTGCAGTCCCAAATGCCGGTTCCAATGCCTTATGGAGACCAGTTCACTCCAGTTAAACCTCCAAAGGGGAAAGGGAATTTGTAAATCTTCTGAATTCAACTCTAGTTATAGGCAATGGGGTAGCAAGAGAGATGATCCTTGCTTTTCCTCCAAAAGCCTTGTACAGTGGGTATATGGGGCGTCCTCCCCCCTCAAAAAAAGAAAAAACTTCCCTTTCCCTCAGTAAGACCTCAGGAGTCCTTCCTCAGCTCCACTCACACACAGCCTCGTGGCTGTGGAGGAGCAAGCTGACAAGGGTGAAGGAAGAAGACAGGCATAATTCTCACTGGGAAGGCCACTGTACTAAAAGGAGAAAGGATGGAGTGGGAGTCATACTGCAAACAGGAAGACAGCGTGTGATCTGGGGATGGGACAGCTCAGAAGGAGGATGCAGGCTAGGCTGTTGGCTAGAGCCGATGAAGGAAGCAAGCGGGAGGTTTCCTGACACAGAGACGAGGGCCTCTAGGCTACTGCTCAGTACAGTACCTGGGAGCCACCTTACGCCCACAGTCGTCCAACTTAAGGGGCAGGTACCTGGAAAAGGGCAGCTGGGTTAGAAACAGCACCTGTTACTGAATCACCAAATGTTCAGGTTCTATTTCTTTTCTTAATATCAAGTGTCTGCCAAGAAACTTTGTAAGACATAGACCTAGTCCTAGAAAAGGAGCTAGAAGCCTGTGGTCTTAAAGTCAGAATTGCTTCTACACACCCTCAGCTGAAATCACAGTCCTGTGATCTCTTGGGCTGCAGAAAGAGGAGTTTGTGCAACCAGGCCCCAGCCCACCTCTCACATCTTGCAACGAGTTATAATGAGAGCTTCAGGCATCTGTGATTTCCATAGTGCAGCTATTCACTCTACCAATAAAGATTGCAACCCCTCTAGAACTGAATGAATATTCTTTGAGAGTTATTATAGTTAATAATTCATCACCTGGTAATGAGCCTTTCCTTACTTAGCTTAGTTGACCCTAACATGACAATTTATAAATAATAACTTACAGTCATATAAGGCTTTATAGTAATAAAACACTTCATAGACTGTCTCACTTAATCCTTGTAAGTTTCTGAAGTAGAAAGAGCAAAAATTATTATCTCTATTTTACTGATGAAGAAAAGTAAGGAGGGGCAGGTAGGTGGCGCAGTGGACAGAGCACCGGCCCTGAAGTCAGGAGGACCTGAGTTCAAATCCAGCCTCTGACCAAACACTTGACACTTACTAGCTGTGTAACCCTGGGCAAGTCACTTAACCCCAACTGCCTAAAAAAAGAAAAGAAAAGAAAAGAAAAGCCACCAAACTGATCATTCACCAGACAAACACTAAGCACTTGTATGTCTCACCTTTGCTCACACTGCTCCCCTTGCCTGGAATGTCTTATATTCTCTTCTCAGGCTATCAAAATCCTACCTATATCTCCAGGTATGGTTCAAGTTTCACCTCCATAAAGTGTTTTCTGATTCTTCCAGTTTCCACTGCTAAACTGCTATAGCAGATTAATTCAAGACAGTGGGGGAAAGGAATAAAGGTCAAGGGCTCCTTACAGTTCCCCTTGAAAATTACAATAGAAACACCAAAGAAAAGAAAAGTGGCTAAGACCCCACACAATAAAAAGAAAAATTATCCAAAAAAATGTAAATGAGAAAAACAAAGTACAGATACAATTTTTAGAAACACAAGTGAATAAATTAATCATCCAAAGTACAGGAGCAAAGCAGATGTAAAAATAAACCACTTGTGGTCTATCAAGAGATATCCTCAAATGGCTGACACATTCAAAGAAATTAGGCAATTACTGACACTGAAAGGAATCATCATAAGACTAAAATAAAAGGAAGGGTTTTTTTAGAAAATTGCTCAAAGAAAGGTACAATTAAAAGATGCTAAAAATTATCCACAGTAAATAATGAAAAAAGGTTTATATTGAAACTGCACCAAAAAAAATCTATAGAAATAACCAATATATGACAACAGAAAAAAGAATTTCATAACTACGAAGCACAGCTAAAAATATCGGTTCCCAAAATATTAATAATAATCATCCACCTAGAGGACAAAGCTTAAAATAGCAACTTCAGGATTACTGATACTTCAGAAAATTTAGAAAAACAAAAGGATATTGGAAAAAAAAGTTTCATATAATTTACAAAAACAGTGAAGAAATACAATTAGAAAGAATCCACAGAACCTTGACAAGGAAAAATCCAAGATTTAACATTCCTGAAGACATCATAGTTAAATTCTGGCATTACAATGATAAGGAAAAAATACTTCAAAAGCTGCCAGAAGAAATTAATTTTTTTTTTTAGGCAATTGGAGTTAAGTGACTTGCCCAAGGCCACACAGCTAGTAAGTGTCAAGTGTTTGGTCCGAGGCCACATTTGAACTCAGGTCCTCCTGACTTCAGGGCCGGTGTTCTATCCACTGCACCACCTAGCTGCCCCTAAGAAATGAATTTATCAAAAGATTCATACACACATACATACACACACACACACACACACACACACACACACACAAAGAGTTGCTCAATTTCTACTTTTCTTCTGATAGTTTTTGAAGTGCTTTGGAATAGAGGCAGCTAGGTAGCTCAGTGGATATAGTAATTGGGCCTGGAATCAGGAAGACCTAAGTTCAAATCTAACCTCAGACACTTACTAGCTGTGTGATCCTGGGCAAGTCACTTAACATCTGTTTACCTCAGTTTCCTTAAGTGTAAAATAGGGATAATACTAGCACCTATTCCTAGAGTTGTTATGAGGATCAAGTGAGTAAATATCTGTAAAGCACTTAGCGCAGTGTCTAGTATACAGCAGGCACTATATGTTAAGGAATGTTACACTAGACTGGGAAACTGCTTGTACAGCTGGGACCCTTGTAGATAAGCAGAGCATCATATCTTCATAGTAGTTCCCAAGGGAAAAAATGCTGCTTTTGCCATCTTGATCATTCATGATTTCTCCCCCTTTACCACTCCCATTTAGGTGGGCAGTTCTATTTCTCTTCATCTCTGTCGAAATTTCATAAATATACAAGCTTCTGTTTGGATTGTGAACTCTTTGACCTGGCTTAGGGCTCCACATGCAAGTTCATTTCTCTTGTAATAAATCTAGTTGCAACTCAATGTCTCATGGACTTGTGATACTGTTTTGGTTAACAGTAAGTGCTATCTAGTATTGGTATTCTGACAGGTACCAAGAAAAAAATAGGATCACAGCAAACTTTTAAAGAACAAGAAATGGCTAGAGAAATTGGAATATAACATTTACAAAACTAATAGGCCAGGAGCCATCACCCTGTAATTGTCTACCCAGAAAAAACACAGTATACGCTATGAAACCATACATACCGTGAAAATTTACAAAAATTTACGCATTCAAGAAAGTCTTCCAACAACAAACAAGCCTTTTAGCCAAAACAAATAAATTTCTAAAACAGCTCACACTTTGCAAGTCAAATTAAACTAGTTACACCAGGGCCTTCAGAAGGGAAACAAAAGTAAAGAGAAGGAAGGGAGCAGGAAAATCCCAAAGCAAAGCTCCTATCATTGATAAAATGGGAATCCAAATTAAAGAAACCTTCATAATAGTTACCAATGATAGGGAATATTTATTTAGAGTGGTTCTATCAAGTTCGGCTTAATAATAGAATTTTTAAGATGAGAGAATTTATTCCTATCTAATAGAATGACTGAAAAAAGACAAATCTTAAGAATTCTAATGCTAAATGGAAAATACTTAACTTTCCCATAAAACCCAAAAGAGTAACAAAATAGATTAAACAGTGCTTATAGAAATCCAGAAACATCTAAATGGATTCAAAATAAATGGACAGTCTAAAATTTCCTACGCTACTGCCAAATCTTGAAAAGTGGGAATAGCATTAATGATACTGGACCAAATTGAACTTCTCTTGGACTCCTGACCATGGGCTATGATTAGAGAACCTTTCCAGACTCCTGAAAATTATACCAAATGTTCATTTCCTCTGCATATCTCTTCCAACTTTAGCTCTCTCATGTATGTAGTCTTCCCCCTTTAGAATACAAACTTCTTGAGGACAGGGGCTATCTTGTTCGCATGTATTTGTATCCCTAGCACTTACCACAGGACCAGGCACATAATAAATGCTTAATAAATGCTTTCACTCATTCAAAAAGAAAATATTAAAAGAGCAAGGACGTTATAATATTATGCTAAAAGATTTTCTATGAGAGTATATCAATCTAAAATAGACATGTATTAATAACTCCGCAGCAAAGGAAAACCTTCCACCCTTACAAGAAGAAAGAAAAAAACCACTACTAATTGAAAATTTTAACATCCCCGTCAGATCACCATTCACAACAACAAACTAAAGAGACTATTAAACAAATGAAATTTAATAAATACATATACTTAATGAAAAAAGCAAAGACCATATACTTTTCTCCCATGTTCACGTAAGAAAAAAATAATAAAAATAATCAATAGCTGAGCCAAAAAGAAGATAAAGGCAAATATAAAAAGCAGTAATTATTTATACTATAATTACAGGCCATAATGCATTGAAAGGTACTAAAGAATAATGATGCAAAGAAAAAATGTATAGGAAACTTAAAAAAGACAGTAAATAATAACTAGATAAAAAGGAAATTATAAAAACAGTAGACATACATTAAAAGCAATGACAACAGAGATTCTTCAATGGATCTGTGATCTCATCCACATGATTACTTCCTCTAGCCATACAGACTTCAGCCCATTCATGTCTGCCCCTCCCTCTGTGACTTGGTCCATGTTCTCTTCCACCAAGGGTACACCCAACATGATAATGGCCTTCTCTCAGATCTCTTGACATTTCCTCAATAACAATGGAGCACATGGGCTGCCCATCAATGATCCCTTGTTGTGTGACTGGCCTATTTTTAAAAATTCCATAACATAGCTTTTTGATGACATCCTTAATGATGCTTCTACACAATTCTTCTTTGCTTGCTTATACCCACCACACACTCCTATTATCTTTTGGATGACACTCAACTTTTAGTTTTTTGGACACTATTCTAAGACTCGCAGCCATAAAGCACCAGTAGAAGAACACTGTTATTAAGAAAAATGGGCCTTTATTTCAAGGAGGGCCTTGGGGTCATTAAAAGTACTGCAAAATATTCCAAAGACAATCCAGTCCATTATTTCTTCCTACCCTACACCAGGCCCAGATCATTGTCCAAATCTGCAGTTTCTGTCCAAGATACAGATGTTCTAATGGGCCAGCTCTGGTGTATACTTGGTGCAGGACAGTTGTCCCTTCCAGCTTCATCTCCTTGAAGACGATTTCTACTTCCTCATTCTGTGCTGTATCTCAGGTCTTGTTGTTTCTGGGCATATGATGAATCCAGTTGGGCTAAATCTTTCATAGGTCTCTCTGAGAAGAATTTTTGAAATGACTTTCCTTTTTTTTTTTTTTGCCATGTCTTATACCCAATACTGGGTGCCTCATCGTAGGAAGCAAGCTTAGCCTGCACGTTATCTCTGGGCAGCATCTAAAACACAGCTTC